GATGATGTCGATGATGATGATGATGCGATGATCATGATGATGATGATGGTGTCCCAAGGATGATGACGATGTTGATGATAATGTTGATGATGAGAAAGATGGTGATCATGATGGTTTTCCGATTATGATGATGATTCTGATTATGCTGCTGATGATGATGACGACGACTATGTCCCGATGATGATGATGATGATGTTGATGATGAGATGATGATGGTGATGATGATGATGTTGTCCCGATGATGATGCTGACGTTGATGATGATGTTTATGATGATGATGCTGACGGTGCTCTCATGATGATGACGATGTTGGTGATGATGTTGATGTTGATGTTGATGATGATGATGATGATGACGTTGATTGTGAGAGCGATTGTGTTATCGATAGTGAGATCGATATTGAGACCGAATGTGAGATCGATTGTGTGATCGATTGTGAGATCGATTGTGAGATCAATTGTGAGACCGATCGAATGAGATAGATCGAGTGAGATCGATTGTGAGATCGATCGAGTGAGATCGATCGAGCGAGACCGATAGTGAGATCGATACTGAGATCGATAGTGAGACCGATCGAGTGAGACGTTGGTTCCCCCCCCCCCGAACCTCCTTATCACCCGAAGGGTGGTCGTATAGGTAATTCAATTATATACACAACATATTTTGTGAACATTTATGTATATGTACGGGTGCAGATCTGGCCCTTGGCAAGGCCGCATCTTTAGGCAAACCTCTGCGCCTCAGGTTTCTGGCATCCATTCCCAAATCATCGGAGACGCCGTGGACATCGGGGGAAAGAGAAGCGACACCACCACCACCACCACCACCAGCGGGGGCCACCTCCGGCGAAGATGTCCACGATGCCTCCCCGAGCTGGGCATCGGGGATGCCTCGAGGGAGTGGGGGACCCTGCCACCAGGGGGACCCCCCTGGCTCCTCCCGCTCGTGGCCCCTGGCTCCTATAGGATGCGGAAGCCTCTCTTTCCCGCGCCGCCGGACCTCGGGCCATCGGCGCCGCTGCCTCGGCCATGGCCGCGCGGCGCGGCGCGCCGACGTCGGCGCGCCCGCGCCCGCTCGCCCTCTGCGCCCTCTGTGCCGCCTGGCCGCGGCCTGGCGCGGGGGCGCCCCCCCCGCCCCTGCCGGAGATGGTGGTCAGGGGCCGGTGATGTCGAGCAGCGGCGAAGCGTCCTGGCTTACGGACAGGCCCACCAGAGGATGTTCTAAGACCTTCTCGTGGTGTGCACGACAGGCTCTTAGAACACTTCTGGCTCTGGCTGTCTTGCTTCCACACATCGGCTTCACGTTCCAAGTGCAGTGGCTGCGTGATCATAGCATCCTTCCGTTCTAAGAACATCTCGTCGTAGGCCCAAGTCTGGGAATGCCGGGACGGTCCGTCCCTGAGGTGGGGGGGCGCATCGACCCGCCATCGCCCGTACCTCGCCGAGAGGGCCGGATAGCCCACCCCGCTCGGGAGCGTGCGGATTTGCTGTCGGGGGCACGTCGCCGATCTGTCGGCGAGGTGTCGCCGATTCCAGGTCGATGTTCCCCTCCTGAGCTGGTCCCCCCCCCCTTATCGTGGCCCCTCAGGTGGACGTGGCGTGGGGCAGCGGGAGCGCCGGGAGGAGCTGCTTCGCACAGCCCCAGCGGGCGGGCGCGGGTAGGCCTCGCGATCGGCGTGGATCCCCAGACCTCCAACGTACGGTCGTGAATTTTGGGATTCGGTGCCGCTCCGCCCCACCATGCTTCGGCGCGACATGCTATCCACTTCTGGTCCCCATGCGTCCACGTCCTGAGCCGTTCCGAGCCTCGCGCTCCGCGGAGCGGAGCGACACGCGATTCTCTCGCAAGGGATAGCATGTTGCTGGGGCCGCCACCGCAACAGGCTATGCAAAAGTTCCTGACGGAATATGGGAATCTTCGAGACACTGTGGTTGCTCTCCGTTTCGGTCTCCCGGCCCTCGCAGGGCCCCAGGACCGTCATAGAACGATCCGGGACGAAGAATCTGTCCCCGGGAAAAGGTGCAGAGGTCTGGGGACCCCGCATTGGAGTCACCAAGGCATCAGAGGTCTGTGTATCGTCGACCCCCAGAGATCTCGATCCCCGTTCCCCTGGACCGTTCTTCTTCTTCATCCGGAGCCGTTTTCGGACAGTCCCGAGGCCCGTTCAGCCTTCCGCCGTGATGGGACCGTGCTGGTGACCTGCCCGGGTGACTTTTCGCCCGGGGATCCCCTGGGGCCGCCCCGCGCGCGCGAACTATCTATCTATCTATCTATCTATCTATCTATCTATCTATCTGTATCAAGAAACACTGTTCACCTTTTACTGGGACTCTTAGCTCGTCTCTGGCCCGTTGGGCCGGCGGATTTGTTTCATGACTCGAGGGGTCCGGTCCAGGTGGGGCATTCTGGGGCCGATTCTTCGCACGGCGGCGGCGGCGAGTCGCGCGCGAGGGCGCCGTGGCGCCTCCAGGACGGCGGGGCGCGACGGCGCGTGGTCTCCGGGGTGCCGTGCTGCGTTCGCGAGCCCGCGCTCGGCCACCCGAGCGGGCCTGGGTCGAGTCGGGCTGGCCGCCGAGAGCCCAGGTCTCAGGGCGATCGAAGTTCGGGCGTCGCGTAAGGGGGGGCGATCTAGGAGGCGTTCCATGAAGGGCCTTGCCTTCGAGGACAGAAGGAGTTGTCATCTCTTTCGCCGCGGAAGGCGGCGGAAGGTCGGCCGAAGTAAAACGAGGCCGCCTCCGCCGGCGGAAGCCGGTCTCCGGCGATACTCTGGACGATCGGAATTTCGGGCGTCGCGTGATGGGGGGCACTATCTGGGGGGGGAGGCAGCCACGGCTGCAGAAAAGGGTTCCTCTGGGGCCCCAGAGGTGGCCTTGAAGTCCCGAGAAGTGGCCCTCTCTTCCCCCCTTAGTTATTCATCGCTCCCCCGTTCATCGACGCCCAAGAAATGGGCACGGAAACAACGGGTACAAAGTCCAACCGCAGTTCGTGTTCATTCTGAACAGGGATCGTTGTCGGCGTCGCCGCAGTTCTTGTCCATCTGAGACAGAAGGCCGCTTGCCCAACAGCGGCCGCTGCTGGTTTTGGACAGCATTTGTTGTTGGGTATTGTACGAATTTCCCTCGTACCTATTTCGGGCATCCAAAGATACGATTTGTTCAGTCCTGCATGGATCTCGGCCTCGGGGGGTCGGTTTCGGGCCTGGGGCATCGAAAACGGCCATCGGGAGAGTGTCGGGAGGTCCCTGGGGCGCGGACCTGTGGAAATGAGATCGTCGGATGTCTGGGAGGGGGAGGCCAACGTAGCTTCAGGCGCCACCCGAGCGGGCTCGGGAGGGATCCCCTTTTGGGGGACGTCGAGGGCCGGCTGCCGCCAGCCACCGCCAGAAGCGGCCGTCCCAGGCCCTGGGCCAGGCCGGGAGGGTCCGCCAACCAGGTGTCCGGGACCCCCTCGCGGCGCTACAGGAGGGAATCCTCGCCCGCCGGGCCCCGGGGGGCCGTCAAAAACGGATCCGGAGGAAGACAAAAACGCTCCAGCAGTGGAGAGGTCCGGGCCTCCGGGTGTCCACGCCGTGAGTTGACGACGCGACGTCGGGGGTCCGGGTCGGGGCGCCCCGGGGGCGGGGCGTCCCGACCGGGGCCAGAGGGGCGTTGGTGCAGTCAACGGGTGGGGGCGCTTTGCGCTGGGCAGGGAGGCCCAGGGAAAGGGACAGGAGTCCATGGGCGGGGATAACCGCAAAAAGATCTTTGGTTTTGGTCCCCCCCCCTCTCTCTCGGCGGTGAATACGACTGGTCCGAAATTCTCCTTCTCCTCCTCCTCCTCCTCCTCCTCCTCCTCCACCTCCTCACCCCTCTTCATCCCTCCTCTTCCCCTCTCTTGTTGTTGCGCGGCGGGTGCCGGGGGAAAAACATAATTAGTTACCTCCTATTGGTGGGACCCCAGTCTTTCAGTAAGGCCGCCGAACAAATACATGTTATGTCCTATTGGGGGGTCCAAAGACCTTTTGGGGTTACCTGGATGCCCAGATGGCCATAGAGGCGCGGATGGCATGAGATGGCTCATTAGAGAGCTTGCGAGGTAGTGCGCGCTGTATCAGCTCGGCCGCTGGGCGCGCAGGAAGCGGGGTGCGTGGGTTGGATGGGGGGCATTGGCCGTAAGTAAGAAGTGAGGCTTCAAAGGCTGAGTGGGCTAGACGGTGAGGGGTAGATTCATGTCACCATCCTCGTGCTGCTCGTCATACTGTAGCCGCGTGGCGCTGAGGGAACTTACACTTACGCTGGTGGGCAGCTGTGGGCCAGCGTTGTAGTCAACCTGGCACGGGAGTGAAGGCTGGCCAAGCGGACTGGGACCACCCTATCAGTGTGGTAGCGGGGTCTAGCGGAGAAGGAGGGAGCGCGAGCGACCGCGGGGAGGGAGAACGGAAAAGAGGAGGAGGACGAGAAGGAGGCGGAAGAAGAGGAGGAGGGGGAGGAGGGGGAGGAGGAGGAGGAGGAGGAGGAGGAGGAGGAGGAGGAGGAGGAGGAGGAGGAGGAGGAGGAGGCGGAGGAGGAGCAGGAAGAGGAGGAGGAGGAGGAGGAGGAGGAGGAGGAGGAGGAGGAGGCGGAGGAGGAGGCGGAGGAGGAGGAGGAGGGGGGAAGCAGGAGGAGTGAGAAGAGGAGGAGGGGGGGGGGCGATGACGAGAAGCAGGAGGGGGAAGCCTGACCGTGAGAAGCATTCGGCCACACAGCAGTCCCACGTCTCAGCCGTTTCGGCCCAGCTTGCAGTCCTGACCCGGCGGCAACCCGCCCCAGCTCCCCAGAGATCCGACGTCTTGATGTTTCATCCGGAAGTCGGGACCCCTTCCCCAAGGCCGGCTTTTCGTTCGGAGTCCGTTTTTGACGGTCCCCGGGCCTGCCGAGGACCCCCATAGAGGTCACAAGCGACGAGAAGCCTCCGTCTCGATGTTGTCAGCACGTTGGAGGTCTGGGGCCCTCCCCCAGCCAGCCGCGCGATGGGCTGCGCCCATGCCTGCTCCGCTCGCGGCCCGATGGCCGCGTGCTTGCCGCGGCGTGCGCCAGGGCCTGCTGCGACGCCGCGCTCGAAGGACGCGCAGCCCAGGGACGCGCGCAGCTCGGCGGCGCCGCCGGGGGGGGGCGCGAAGGGCTCCGGTGAGCCGCCGATGGCGTCGGGCGCAAAGGTCTACGGGCCTCCCGGATGGGGACGGAGCGGGTGGCGTCGGAGGGCCGCGCCGCATCGTCGAAGCATCGGCGGTGCAGCGCGATGCGGAGCCCGGTTTTCTCCGTGCCGACGTCGCCGATGCAGCGCCGACGCCGCCTACGCATCGGCAATGCATCGGCGATGCATTGGCGATGCGGCGCAGTCCTCCGATCCCATCCACTCGGATACCATCCAGGAGGCCTCCAAGAGGGCGCTCCAGTGCTCCTGCCGATCAGCGCGCGCTCCGCGGGCGGGCAGGAGAAGCCGCGATGGAGCAATGTGGGCCATGGGGGAGAAGCGCTGAGAGGACCAAGTTAGCCGGCGTCTCGATCAAATCGAGACGCAGTTTTCGACCTCTCCGGGCCATTGCCAGGCCTCGGTGACGTCAAGAAACGGTCTGGCTGAGAAACCCTGGAAGTGGTCGAGAGGTCGGGGCCCGTGTCTCGACAGAATCGAGACGCCAGATGCAGACACCCCTGCTCGTTCGTCGCCACGGCTGGATTCTCATCGAGAGTCTGGTCAGAGCGCAGTCTGGGAGAGGTCTGGGGAGTAGCGACATGGGTATCAAGGATGGCGCCCTGAGGGGCCCTGAGGACGAGGGGCCTGAAACAGTGGGAATTCAACCCGGGATCCCTTCCTATCGTTGGGGCCCCATCCCTCAGGGCCCCATCTTTGAACTGCCGACTGGGGGAAGCGGGCCCCTGGAGGGTGCTTTCGACGGAACAGGAGCGGTATACGAACGCAGCCCTTCAAAGAAAGGCCCGCGCAGTTGGATTGGCGCCGGACTCCCCCGGCGGCGCCTGCGGCGCCCATCCAGGGAACCCGTGCGGACCCTCGAAGGTTCCTGCCCGTGTGGCGGTTCCTGCTTCCAAAGAAAAGACCGGCCCCGGAGGTCTCCCGCCGCTCTGCAGGCTCCGTGGGGGAGGCCCGGGAGCGGGCCCCGGGGCCGCCAGCCACCGGCTCGGGAGGAAGAGCTGGTCGCCTGGAGAGGCCGACGCTCTCGCACCCGCGTGCGCGATGGCACAGGGCACGGGTCCAGGACTGCGCCGACCTTCGGGCGCAAGCTGCCCGCGTGAGGCCGCGCGTCCGCGCCCGATCGGTTCTGCGCCGCGGCGTCGGGTCGCCATGCCACCCCGCGTAACGCCGGACCGAGGCACAAGATCGAGGTCGGTTCGGGGAGGCTTCCCCGATGCTCTTCGTGCTTGGTGGATGCTCTTGTGCACCCTGCGGAGGGTACCTTGAACGTTCTGTCTGTTTTGGCCGACGGAGGGTCTCATGTTCTTGAGAGATGTTCTTCTGGCCTGTGTCCGAGTGTAAAGGCCCCCTTCCCATTCCGTCGCCCGCGTGCTCTTCTGGGCGCCGTGCAGCAGGTTGGTCGCCAGGGTGGTGCCCGAGCTCGGGCAGAGGCCTCGAGCGGCGGGGCGTCCGGGGGGAGGGGCCAACCTGTTGTCCCCTCGGGGCCCGCGTTTGCTCCACGCCCGTCGGAAGGCGGAGGGCGGCGAGGGCCTCCCGAGGGCAGCTCTGCACGGCGCGGGGGGCTCGGCGTCGCCCGCGCCGTCGCCCGCCACGGCGAGGTCGCGCAGGAGCGAGCGCCGCGTGACGTTCGGCAAGGAGGAGGTCCAGCAGTTCGAGGCCGTGGGGAAGATGCGGAGCATCCGCTAGGCGCGCGCAGTGGAGAGGCACGCCGGCGGTCCTGGCGCCGATGCGCGTCGGATCGTCGCGCCGCTCTAGGTCCCTCGATCTCCTTCCTTCGAAGAAGACGCAGCCGCATAAGCATGAGCTTTCGGAGACGCCGCCAGGGAGAACCAGCGCCGAGCCGAGAAATCCGCGCGGAGCTCCGACAGTGTACGTGTATGCAGTTCTTCTTCTTCTATTATTGCATTATTTCACTTGCATTCGCATCCATCCCCATCTTCCTGGTTCCTCCTCGGTCAGTATTCTGCGAGATCTCTGGCGACACGCCGTGACAAGCACGGTGTGGAGCGTTTTTGTGGGCGGCAGTTGTTCTATTCCGTAGTTGGTCCGCGGACTCTAATTAAGATCCAGATCGAGATAGGCGATAGCCTGCTCAATTGGGCGTCAAGTGAAATTCCATGCTCGTGAAGGCTATCCCTCCCTGCCCTTCTAGAGCGGAAGTCGGCTCTTACAGCGGATATAAGTTCCGTGAGGCACCATGCCAAGTGCAGGAGGCATTAGTAATCCAGCTTGCAGTCGCGCGTGGAAGCAAAAGTACGCAGGGCCGCATCTCGCGTTGTCGATTTCCTTGGTTGGGGGCAGCAGGCAGTCAGAGCTGGCCTTCAGGTTGAGCCTTCGGAGCAAGTCACCCTGACATCCTTCGGTTCTGGGCGTCGCTTGCATGCCTTCTGCTCCGTCGGTCCAAGGGTGTCCTGGCATCTCGGGCGCATTCTGGACGCCCTGCATCCTTCTGCAGTCGAAACCGATGGTAAGGATGGGTCACATTCCCAAGGGCACCCGTGCATCTGTGCCTCTTTGGTCCATCCTTGACTCTTTTTGATGGCCCGCCGCGCTCGAAAAAGCGTCAACATGGGCGTCCAAGGGGCTTGCAACCTTATTGCGAATCTCATTGCGCATCTGTCTGTCAGTTTTGACTGCGCTCCATCTTCATGCTTGGTTCTGGCTTTGCTAGGACCTCGGCCCCGAGTACACCTGGCCAGGATCAAGCCCGAGAGAGGACCCCTGGCCCCCCTCGTCCGCTCCACTGGCCCCCCCCGTCCTGCTTTTTAGCGGCGGCGCTCGCGACGAGGAGAGCGAGCCAGAGGAGAGACGAGGAGGTGGACTAGGGATGAGGATAAGGATCACGGAGGGGGAGGGAGGAGGAGGAGGAGGAGGCGCAGGAGGAGGAGGAGGAGGAGGAGGAGCAGGAAGAGGAGGAGGAGGAGGAGGAGGAGGAGGAGGAGGAGGAGGGAGAGGAGGAGGAGGAGGAGAAGGAGGAGAAGGAGGAGGAGGAGGGAGGAGGAAGAGGAGGAGGAGAAGGAGGAGACTCAGGAGGAGGAGTGAGGGGGGAGGAGGGAGGTGTAGACCCCCGGGGCCCGCGGAAGCCGCTCACCAGACAACGGTCATTCTTTCATAATTAGGGCCACTCTTGCGTGTGGCCGATCCGCCAGCAAGTGCCCGCCGGCTGCAGGAATGCCCTTCCCCCTCTCCACCTTCGCCCTCCGCGCGAGGATGTCGGGCCAGGACCTCCCCGCGGGTGCACACCCGAGCGACTGGATGCTGTGCAAGGGTCTCAGCAGCCCCCGCTCTGTCGATCGTGGCCGCCTTCGCGCGTCGTCGTCATCGTTGTGCGTCGTGGCGGTTGTCTTTTGGAGGGCTTCGGGTGCTTTTATAGTCGGTCTTGAAAGATTTGTTTTGCTGTGTGTGTGTGTGGGGGGGGGGCGCAGGAGCCTTCCAGGCCACGCCAGTATCGCCCAGGACTGACCCCGGCTCTGCAGGGCCAGAGTTGCGGCCCGGATGCCCATGCGTTCAGTGGTCTCAGGAATTTTTGCAGGGAGGACCAGTTATTCTCAGTTTGTGCCCTCACAGTCTGGCATCACAACGTTTAACGGCGCATCGTTGCACATAAGAGGGATTCCCAGCAGACCGGTGATCATGCACTGATATATCGATGCACGCAGATGAACAAAACTTCTGGAACCCCGATTTCAAAGAGAAGTTCGCTCTTTTGTAAGATCCGATTGAAAACGGCATTGGTCTCCGCAGTGGTCCAAGTTGAAGAGTTTGCCGCCATAGTGATAAACATGATGTATGCGAATAAGCACGGCTTCGCGCACTGTGTGCATTTTTTCAAACCTACACATGGTTGAAAGATAGATGGCGCATGTAGCCACAAAGGGAATTCTACCGTGTCTGGTGGGTGCAGACTTCAGGCGATTGAGTACGTGATGCGGCATGTAACACAAAGTGACTTAGTCCTGTGGCTGGATTCAGGCGTCACTGTGCGCAGCGTGGGTACATATTAGCTAGACCACCTTGACTCTGGTGAACGTTGTCTCGGAGAGGAGACTGGCAAGCATTGTTTCAGTGTCAGCTTGGATGTATATTCGTTGGCACTCTTGTCCTTTTACAGACTGGCAAGCGAGCAGCGGTTTTGTGGCCTTACAGAGAGGAATCGGCATACCCAGCAAGCCTGACATGACATCTTTGATGGATCAGTGGTGGCTGAGACGAGATTAGTCCACCGATAGCGGGAACTGATCTTTCGACCAATTCTTTCTCACTGAAGCGCTCAAAGAGTTTCGCGGAAGACAATTCCAATTACGCGCCAACGATTTTTGTTTCGCACACATGTGGGGCATGCGACTGGGTGCCAGACATGAACGTACTTGTTAGTATTACCGTGCTCAAAAGCAACAGATCATGTGATAATATGCGCGACATGCTGACTTACGTCGAAAGCTATGTTTTCGATCTATGTTAACTGAGCGCCTTGCCATTCGCATCGTTTCTTGATGTTTGAAGAAATATCACCTCGGCAGAGCGCAAGACGGAGAAACGGGGGCCTGGGGTGGGGCAGGTGTGAGGGGAGAGGGCGGGAACGACGGTGCAAAGTTCGACGCCTAAGCCGAGCATTGTAATTTCCCGCACGGTTTGCATCTGCCAGCCAGCGGCCTGGGACGTGGGAGGAAAGCGGAGGAGGACAAGAGGGGGGATGAGATGGGAAGGGGGTCGTCCGAGGAGCAGTTCATTGGGCAAGTTTCCTTACGCTGATTTCAGTTCGGTAGCAGGTGCGGGGGGTGACTTGATGCAGCGCGCAGATGGCGCCATCGCGGGGAGCTGCCCAAACCCTGCACGGAACGCTTGTGACTTGAATTGATGCGATGCCCTGTGTCTTTCCCTTCTCCTGCTCGTTTCTCCCTTCCCCAGTGGCTTGGACTCGGTTTGAGGTTGAGTCGTATCGCCTCACTGTGTGCTCCAGGCCTCCGCGTGCAGCTATCCCATGACTGTTGAGTGGATCCGCGCCGATTGTAAACTTGGATTGCCATCGGTCCGATATTGCAATCGCAGGATAATGTGCGTTATGCATTTCTCATTCAAACGAGAAGGACTTGCTCTGATTTCGCGCCCTTGGCGTCCGCTTCTTCTCGCTCTCGTCCTCTCTCTCTCTCTCTTTCTCGCTGACCCTCTTCGTCGGAAGCGCGTCTTGGCAGGCCGCTGTGTCCATGGCTGCCTCGGCCGGAGGGTCTCCCCGCCGTGGCCGCGTCTGTTCCGGGCCCGCTCGATTCGCCGAAGTGGAAAATGAGGAGGTGAGGACTCCAGGGGGGCCGTCTGAGCCCGCTCGCTGCCAGGGCTTGGCCGGTTGCCGAGCGTCAAGAGAAGGGAGGATATCGATACCGCTATAGCAGTGAGCCTTCGCCGGAGGGACGTGCGGGCCCACAGGGGTCCCCCTAGCACTGGCCTGCGCGCTTGGAATTGGGCCCCCGGCGGCCCCCTCGAGCCACGCACCAGAGGTCTCGCTTGCCCAGGATGCTTGCTGCGTGTAGCCGACCCGATACCGCTACCATTTCCTTGCAGGTTGCGCCTCGAAATCCAAGTCAGAACGTCATCGTCATCGTCATGCTCGTCGTCGTCGTCGTCGTAGTCGTCGTCGTCGCCGTCATCATCATCAGCAGCATCAGCATCAGCATCAGCATCATGATCATACCATTCATCATATCATATCCTCATCATGATCATCGTCATTGTCATTGCCATTGCCATCATCTTATCGAGGCCACTGTCGTCCCGGGGGTGCACGGTGTCGATGATGATCATCGTCCCGGGATGACGGTGCAGTTCCACCGCGATCGTCATCATCATCGTCATCATCATCTCGTCGGGTTCGCCTGGTCATCGTCATCGTAATCACCGTCATTGCTTCTAGGGGTGGAGGGGCCTCCGCAGCGTCCATGTTGATCCGATCTTCGATGTCGCTGCCGACCGGTCCGCTCCGATCCGATGTCGATGTTCCGACGGTCTCATGCGACCCGATGTCTACATGTCATGAGGGGAACGGGTCCTGAGGTTTTCCGCCGTTGTCGTGGTCTCGGGGCCCTCCACGGGCCCCGGGATTGTGAGGCAACGAGTCCGGATGAAAAACTCGTCCTGGGGGAAAGCCCCAGGGTCCAGGACCTGTTGCTCTCAGGGCCCGTTTCTCCCATGCTAGTGTCGTGCATCCTGGCGCAACCAATCCGATGCCAGTTCGACTCCGTGCCGATGCAGACACGTTCCGACCCGATCCAACGTATCGTGACATATCGATTCGCATTCGAGTTCGTTCGTCACAATGACTGCGCACTCGATGCCTGCGCTGCACCTTCTTGCGCAGGCCCGAGGCCTGCCTCAGCATAGTCTCAAGTGCTGATCGCGTTGCATCTGCGCCTGCAGGTTCTTGCACGGCAGAGGGCATGGTTTACGGTCGGGGACTTTGGGATGGCGTGCAGCTCCATTGGTTCTGGTCCATCACGCTTCGGCGCGACACGTTGTCGCACGGGGCTAGCTAGCCCCGTGCCAGGACGAGTGTAAATCCGTTCCAGAGCGTTCGGGAACGCTCTCAGAGCTTTCCGGGACGCTCTAAGAAGGCCGCGGCGCCCGAGACATCCCCCAGAGCCGCCAGATCTCAGAGTTTCTCGATTTACCCCTACCCGAATGTATTCTCGTCCTGGCTTCGTCCGACGATGCCGCTACTCTCTGGACCTCTCCTGGAGTGCGTTCTGACCAGGATTTCGAGGCGAATCCAGCTGCGGCGGCGAGGGCCTCCCAGGAGGCCCAAGAATGAGATAACGAGGGAAGGGTCAATGGATACCTGCTCCTCCTCCGACGCCCGACCGTCTTCATTCTGTGCCGACCGCTCCTGCCTCCGAGGCAAAAGCCGGTTCGAGCGGCCGCCCATCGCGCCCACGCACGGCACGCAGTACAACGGCGCCCGCCTGTCGGACACCTGCTTCAAGGCGCCTGCGGCGGCCCGGGCTGCGAGGGCGCGGGGGCCCGGCGCCCGGTGCCGCCAGTCAGAGGAGGAAAGGTACCAGTACCACTGGTCCTTGCCTCGTTTTCGCTTTTCGGGGCCTCCTAGGAGGCCCTCTTCGCCACCGAAGGATGCGCCTCGAAATCCTGGTCAGAACGAGCCCCAGGAGAGGTCTGAGGAGCAGCGGTATCGGTAACTTTTGGTGGTACCCCCAACGAGTGGCACACGGTGCGGTCGGACCTGATCAGTAAGTCGACCCTGTAGGCCCAGACCTCCGCCATGTGAGGCGGAGGTTTTCCGTCGAGGTCGGCCTCTGAGTGTCTTTGGCAGGCCCCTCGGGATGAAAAGGCGGCCCTGGGGAAGGGGTCTAGACTTCCAGGGAGCCCGCATTGAAACATCAAGAAATCGGATGTCCCGGGAATCAGAGGTACATTCTCCGAGGCGGGAATTTATCCATATCCACCGCCTGGAGGGTCAGTTTTCGGACCCTCGGCAGGCGGTGGATATGGACATATTCGGGCCCCCGGGGGCCGAAATATATCTATATCCACCGCCCGCTGGAGCACCAGGGCGTCGGTTCCCAGGCGGTGGATATGGATAAATCCCCGCCTCGCACATTCGATGTTCGTCCGGGGGACCTTGTTTGGGCCCACCTGACGAATCAGTTCGACTGTAGTCCGACTTCACTTCGACTTCAGCTCGACTCAAGCTCGGCTCAAGTTCGACTCAAGTTCGACTCGAGTCGACTGTCGATCGACGCAGCATCGACGCATGAGCGGAGCAATTGGCTCCAGGAAGGCCCCCAGAGCGAACACCTGAGGTACCCTCGTGACCTGCCGCGGCTTGTGCTTTCCTCGTGCCTGGAGCTTTTGGGGTGGTTCGGATGCAACTCCTGGGAGGTCGAATTCTGACTTTGCCCTGGTCCGAAATCCAGCTGAATCCGGCCTAATCTTGCTTAATCGGGCTCAATCCCGCCTGATCCGGCTTATGTCGCGCTTCATCCGCGGCCAAATCCGGCGTAACAGCCCCACCCCAATGGGGCTTACTCCTTCTCAGTTCTTCCGACTACCTCCCAGCAGTTGCCTCCTAAGGGTGGCCCTCGGAAGAATCCTCGCCTCCTCTCGGGCGTCCCCTGCAGTAGGTCCCAACCGCCGTAGTTGGGCGCCCTCGGGCGCAGGGCCCCCAGGGGCCTGCGCCCGGCGTGCTCCCCGAGCTGGGGAGGGGTTTCGTACCAGCTGGGGTCGGAGGCTCGCGCCTCGTGGCTGATGCAGCGGCGATGCGGCTCGATCCGGAGCCCGATTTCCTCCACTCGGAAGACCTGCCGCGCGATGCGGAGCCCGATTTCCTCCACTCGGACGGCGCCGATGCATCGCCGACGTCCCGAAGAAGAAAAAACGCCATAAACAGAAAGTTTTGGCGCTCCGTGCGGATCTCTTGGATACGCGCGGGCCCTCTCCCGGCGGCGCCTCCGGCGCCGCCCCTGGCGCGCTCCGCGCGCCAGGGAGGGGGGTCCTGCGCAGATCCAAGAAACCCGCGCGGAGCACCAACAGTTTAACTGCGCCGATGCATCGGCGATGCATCGCGGCCCTCCGACCCGTTCTGCTCGGACCCCACTCGGGAGACCTCCAGAGGTGCGGGGTGAGGTAGGCACATCGAGTATGGGATCGGCCTGCCAGCAGGTGCCCCACGGAGCTTTCTGTTCCCCCGATAGCCCAGGGACCCACAGAAGATTTAGGGCACCTCAGGGCCCACAGACGTCGACGAGGAATGTGCCCTAAGACTTCTTATAGCAAGAGTGTCTATTTTGCAGAGGGCCCGAGCGCCGACCCAAGAGGTCCCGCGCAGACCTCCGAAGGTTTTTGTGCTCACTCCGTCTGGTGCGCTTCCAGGTCGGGCAGGCTGGCGCCGCCTCGACATGGCGGGGGTGCCGGCGCCGGCTGAGCGAAGGCTGAGCGTCCTCTCCACGGCGGCCCGCGAGTGTGCCCAGGACCAGCAGGAGAAGGACCCGCGCCGCGAGATGCACGCGAAAGATAGGGTCGAGAGCCCGTGGGGGCACCTCCGAGGGACGAGGCCACTCAACGCTGAACGGCTCACGCGGCGTCAGGCACCAGAGCCGACGTCGTGGTCACGGCAAGCATCGATGCCAGAGGCCTCTGGAGTCTTCCAGGGGCCCATGAGGCAACCGCTCCGGAAACCGTGGGCGTCAGATCCAAGGATTGCCTGCTGCTGGGACGCCCTCTTGAGAAGCCGCAGGTGCACAGGGAGGAAGAGGCATCGCCGCATGCCCCTGTCAGGTTGCCCAGACCCCCGACGTCGTGATTTGTGCATAATGTCGATCTCCCAGAGGTGTCCACCCATTCCCAGGACCGGTTCTGCATCCCGAGGCGTTTTTATGTGGACGGTCCCGGGGCCCGGCAGGGGCCCCCCGAGGTCGACCACAGCGAAAGAACTCCCGCCGCGATGTTTTTGGTCCATGCCTCGAGGGGGGGTCGGGGCTGCCTGGCCTCGGTCCCTCGGTCCTCCTCCCGGCAGGACCCGCGTGGCGCCGCCCGTGCCTACTCCGCGCCCGGGCTCCGACTCGACTGCCGAGCGCGCCGAGGATCGAGCCAGCCCTCTGCGGCTGCCGGATCGGGGGGGCTCTGTCTCAGGGGGCCGCTCCCCCGCCGGGGCCCTCGTCCCCCGGGCCCCCGCTCCCAGACGTCCGGCGTCTCGAGAGAGTCGAGGCCTTGGTCCGTCACAGCTTTCGACCTCTCAGGGCCCTTACCAGTCCTCGGGACTGTCAGGACGCGTCTCGGGATGAGAAACCGGTCCCGGGGGAGTGGTCGAGAGCACGGGGCCCGAGTCGCGAAGAAATCGGGACGCCGGATGTTTGGTCCTTTTGAGGGTGCAGTGGGGACACAGAGTGAGAAGCTGGGTTGCCAACGTGTGCCCCACCACCGGGGCAAACGAGAAGCCTCCAGGTCCCAGAAGGACGACAAACCGCCAGGGAGGGCCGCCGTTGTCGATCCGACGCGCTGCGAACAAAAGCTGCAACGTCGCGAAACAGCACGACCCGGGTCCTGGACCCCATCTGCGCCACTTCTTGAGCCAGACGGACTTTGTAATTGTTCCAGGGCCCGCAGCGCAGCAAGCACCAGCGGAGCTCGACCAGATGGCGCTCCGCGCTATCGACCAGAGAGCTTTCATCTGAGTCGTCGCCACTTGGACCCTGGCGGTAGCTCCAGCGGGCGGCTGTCCCTTGCGCCGAGACTCTCTCCGCGACGTGCTCGTCGATGTCCAGGTCGATCTGTTGCTCGATAGCGCGGAGCGCCATCTGTTCCGAGACGAGAAAACGTCCGGCGCGAAACATGCTGCAACGCCAATTAGTGGACACTCCCTCGCTCCCCCAAACTCAAAGCTGGCACGCGCGGGGGAGACTGCGGTCGAAGTGGAACTCATCAGACCCACCGCCAATTTTGAACTTTGCGGGGAGGGGGAGGCGTTGACCGATGAATGTGGCATGCGTGTTCGCTCTTTTCCCGAGGCCTGTATGGTTTCCCGACAATTGTTTCCCCCTACCGTGAGACTCGAGCACGCCCGAACTGGGATGCGCCGACGAGTTTTTTGACGGGCGCGTCCTGGATCTGTGACGGCCCAGTGTTCGTGACACGTTTTTACGGCGGGAGCTCGCGTCAGATTCCAGGCTGGGTCTAGCCATGTTCATGATGGCCCCGTCAGACCAACCCGAGTCCCCCGAACCCGAGTCTTACTCCTCCCCGATGTTGTTCGGCCTCAGGGTGGGGGGACGCCATCGGGCTTCAGGACCATCGGCAAAGAATGTCAACGAATGAAGGCAACGTTCTCAGAGGAGGGCCATGTGAGACAACGGTAGTTGGCCTTCGGCGGGGCCCTCGTCGCCGTGGCTGGACGCAGCTCGGAAACTTGGTGCGTTCGGACCCCTGGAGGGGTCTGGGGACCGATTTTGAGCTGCAGTTGTCTCAACTCGCCCTGCTCCCAAAGAAAGAAACTTTCGGAGGGGAGAATTGTTCCTGTGTGGTGTGAGACCTGGGCGTGGGCGACTCTATAACAACTTGACGTTGTTGCTGTCGCGTATCTCGTCAATGTTGCTGCTGGTCCTTCCGCGGAGTATCCCAGGCACCCACATTGAGGGCACGCGACTTCCTCTGATGCTTCGCGGCCATTGTCCTCAGCTTTCCTCCTCCTCCTCCACATGCACGCCGAAAAAGGATAGCACCTTTCGGGTTTCGGCTATAATCTAGACGACAGAAGGACCTTCGGACGGGAAAGGGTTGCCCTGTGCGGCTTTGAGAGCTAAGAAGCGGCAGCCAAGAACAACCCATCTGCAAATCATGGATCGCCCTCGTGAGTTTGTCCAGCCAGCGAGTGTTGTAACGGATTTCGAACATGTTCACACGGCAGACGTACCAGGGACGCTACTATTCTTTCGTGTGTGCGTTGTGTGTATGTGCATGTATGTGCGTGTGCGTGGTGCGTGTGTGTGTGTGTGTGTGCGCGCGTGTGTGTGTGTGTGTGTGTGTGTGTGTGTGTCTGTCTGTCTGTCTGTCTGTCTGTTTGTCTGCCTGTCTGTCTGTCTGTCTGTCTGTCTGTCTGTCTGTCTGTCTGCCTGCCTGCCTGCCTGCCTGTCTGTCTGTCTGTCTGTCTGTCTGTCTGTCTGTCTGTCTGTCTGCGTGTGTGTGTGTGTGTGCGTGTGTCTGTGTGTGTTTGTGTGTGTGTGTGGGTCGGGGGGGATGGGTGGGTGGGGGAGGGTGGTGGTGGTGGAGGGGTGGGTGGGTGGTTGGGTGGGTGGGTGGGTGGGTTGATGGGTGGGTGGGTGTGTGGGTGGATGGGTTGGGGGGTGTCTGGCGCAACCTATGGCGCAATCATTGGGAGGTACCTTGTAGACGCACCAGGGGAAATACCGACTCTCCTGTTTAGCTGGGTGCTTGGCGCAACCTCTTGTGTCACTTTAGCAGGGTAGCAACACGGCACCAGGATTTTTTGTCATCGGGAATCGTCGGCTTGAGCCAGTCTGTTTCTAGATGGAAGCACGCGCAGGGATGGACCCGTGGCGCAATCTCATCTCGTGTCCTTACATCTCGCTTTGCAGCCCATATGAAATGGGCCTGCAATGGATGCCCCACGATAATGTCTTATCTCCCGATGGGCTCGCAGCGCCCTTGAGTACCTCACGGAGCTCAGGGTCGACGAAGGATTTGCCCCTAGATTTCTCATAACAAGGTTGCTTTTCGCATCCGCCTGCAGTGCCGTCTCGTTCTACCCGACCCAGCCACGCCCACCTTGTCTCATGCCATAAAGTGGGGACGCTCATCAAGAAACCAAATGCTTTCGTCAGGGTGCCCTGTGTTTCTTCGCTCCGCGCGCTGCGCGGCTACTTCCCTCCACCGTTGAAGAGGTTGCTGCGTTCAGGGTGTTCTGGGCTCCCCCGCTCCCGTGTGCATCTCCCGCGAGGGTTTTCAGGGCTGGGTCTCTTGCGACAGTTTCTTGCGGCCGCGTCCGCACGGTATCGCTTCCCCTTCCCCCCTGCCTTCCTCTGGAGTTCAGCCTCGCTGCCCCGATCGGCGCGCGGGGGGCGGCTCTTGGGCTGCCTGCGTTGCGGTCCCCCGCGGTAGGCCGAGCATAAAGCAGGATTACCTTTTCTGGCGTTCGTTTGTTTGTTCGTTTGCTCGTTCATTCGTTGTTGCAGGTATTCCTTATCCTCTTCTTTTTCGTCTCCCTGATTCGTCTTGTTATTATCCTTTGGATTCGTTCCTTTCCCGTCACTGACCGAGCTTGCAAACAGCGGCCCGCCTTCGGCGCTGCCCGGCCAGGGCGACAGGCCGCACGTCTTCGTCATCGGAGACTGGGGCGGCGTGACCCGTGAAGGACGCGCCCAGGGGGACACCCTCCTCCCCCTCCTCCTCCTCCTCCTCCTCCTCCTCCACAGTCGGTTTTGGAAGATTGTGAAGGATTGTGAGGCCAATTGTGGCGTAGATAGGGGTTCAGACCACCGCTGTCTGAAATTATCTTGCGTATTCAGCATGAGCAACCACACGACGACAACAGCATCACGACAGCAACGCCGACGACAACCACGACCAGCATGGCCGCCCACGGACACGACGCAGTACCAAATTACCCTTTCCGACAAGCTCTTGCTAGACACGAAAATGCAGTTGCAATGTGAACAAATCGAAGAGTCAATCAAAGAGGTGCTACTACAACTCCAACCTCCGACAGCCGACCGCCAGCGCAGCAACCGCCCAACCAGCGACGCCCTCAAGCATTTGCTCCAACGACGGCGGGACACATCGCACCAAGACACAGCAGCACGCAGCCAACTCAACAAAAGCATACGCAAAGAGATCCGAGCGATCAAAAGAGCGACCCGCACGGCAACACTTGCACGCATATTGTCGGAGTATATGGATCTGCACCAGATCAGCGGATCGAAAAACATCAAAAAACGCACACTCACCACTAGCATGACAGACAAGCATGGCAGCACGCGTCACGACCGACAGTCCATTACAGACGTTTTCGCGACATTATACGAAGACCTTTACACCGCCGTGACAAAAGATTATGCGGTTTTATGATATGGTGGAATCTCCTATCCCTCTGAAGATTCCTAACATCCTAACATTGACATGCGTCCTCCGCGATCCCGCGGAGTAATTCGTCTACCTCTAAGTAATAACATTGTTATCTCAAAACAGGATCGGAAATTACTCCGCCCATTCCTGTATGAAAAACGGGACGGGATGCGTGTCCACGCGGAGTAATTTCTACTCCGCCCACTCCGTTTACTCCGCCAGCCTTGAGTCATGTTGAATGAAGACCGCATACTACTTTTGTCACGGCAATGTATAACGACGCCGACCGCGCAGACAACTACTGCCAGCAAGAGCACGACGCACAACTGGACGCAACCCCACCATTCACGAGCAATGAACTTGAGACAGCTCTCCGACAATTGCGGACCAACAAAGCCGCGGACCCTTCTGGGATAGCAGCTGACATGTTGAAATCGGGAGGAGCAGTGTTTCATTCCGTTCTCCTTGACACGTACAACAACGTCATCAAACCTGGCTACCCTACACCCACGAGCTGGCGACACACGGTTCTCAAGGTTCTGCACAAGAGCGGGGGCCCAGCACAACCCAAGAATTACAGATCAATTGCGATCATCGCAATGATATAGAAACTCTTCTCACGACTCCTCTACAACCGATTACATCCGCATCTAGATTGCCAACAAAGCGCTGACCAAGCAGGTTTCCGACCAAGCCGGAGCACGACTGACCACTTGTTCACGACAACGGCTTTGCATGAGGTCGCAGACGAGTGGCAACTCCCAATGTGGTCAGCCGCCGTGGACGTCAAAAAGGCACTCGACATCATCACGCACGTCAGAATCTGGGAGTCGATGGCAGAACAGAGCACGCCAAGACCATACATACGTTAGCTGTCAAAGCTGTACGAGCGACAGACCGCTTCAGCCAATACGAACCGCCACAGCAGGCAGTTCGACATCCCACGAGGAAAGAAACAGGGAGATCCCCTTAGTTCCTTGCTTTTCAGCTGCGTATCAGAGAGTATATTGAGACGAGCCAAAGCAAAATGGGCATCCAAGAACTACGGCTTCAAACTCCAGCTACACGCAAATTGCCGTCTCACCAACTTACGATTCGCATACGACATGTTACTACTCGCGGGGTCACTCAGCCATCTTACAGACATGTTCACCGATTTGATCAATGAGGCGGGCAAAGCGGGCTGGGAATTACACCCCGACAAAACAAATATCATGCACAACGGCCACCGACCACCACGCGGAAACCGCGCCCCTGATTACGTGCACGTGCTTGGCGTGAAGATTGAAGTGCTACCGCCATACCGCGGCACGAAGTATCTGTGTCTGCAATTGCAAAACAGCACGCCCCACGATACGGAACTGGAAAACCGCATCGCGACGGCATGGCGGAAGTTCCACGCACTCGAGGACGAGCTAACGGGGAACAAAGATTCACGGTCTGACCAGCTACGACTATTCAACGGAACTATCACGCCGACGATTTTATACGGTTGCGAAGCTTGGACCCTCACGACTGAGCTGGCAAATCGATTTGCGACGAACGCGAAGGCAGATGCTACGCATGATCGTACGAGTACCGAGACGTACCGCAGCAGCTGCGAGCCCACATCAGTCATCACATCCAACTCAGACCAATACCAGCGACCAACACGACGGCAGCCACCAGTACGACGACGACAACACGGACGAGGGCGATAGCACGACGTCAGGCCGCACGCCCACCACACTACCGACGCACGACGACGACACAACGCCAGAATCTCTGGAGCCATGTGTACAACGGATCAAGCGTGCTACTCACGATGCAGAGGCCGCAATTGAGCGGTTACGAATCAAGCGTGGTGCTTCTATTGTGAAGGAACGGAAATTGAAGTGGGTACAAAAACCGAGAACGACAGACGATGAGGAATGGATCCGGCAGGTGATCCAATGGACGCCGCAACATGACCCAGCATATCATGCAAACTAATGCAAAGCGGAGGCCTGGCCGCCCGAAAACCAGAAAGATCGACGACGTCCGAAGCCATGCAGAGAGCCATATGGGTAATGGGTCTATGAGTATCAGAGATATATTCGATGTTGCCACAACAGACCTCTGGAATAACATCGGGCAAGATTTCTGATGCGGCCTCCTTATCCGACTCTCCGTCGCTCTGGCGCCGCACCCACAGCACCCCACACGGTCCTCTGACATCCGACTCCAGCTCTCGACTCTCCCATTCCGCTACGACTCCTACCTCTGAGCGGCCAGCTCATTCTGTCTTGGCGCCTCGGCGCCCACCCGCTGCACCTGCGTAGGTGCCTTCAGTGCGGGACTCTCCTCTTCGTCTTCCTCCTTCTCCTCTTGCTCCTCCTCCTCCTCCTCCTCCCCTTCCCCCTTCCCTCCTCCTCCTCCTCCTCCTCCTCCTCCTCCTCCTCCTCCTCCTCCTCCTCTCGCCCTGGAGGGGCCCCCCAAGAGTGGGGGTCGGGCCTGTGTGCCCCCTGGTGCAGGCGGGGAGCACCGGGCCTTCAGGGCACAAGCCCCCGCACCTGGGGACGGCCGCCATAAGCGCGGCCTTCCTTCCCCAGGGGGGTCGCCAGGTCCCGTGGCCTCCCCCAGGGCGGTGCAGGGTTCCCACCCTGCACTCGCCGCCCTGGGGCGGGACCGGCGGCTCGTCCCGTCGTTGTCGCTCGTTCGTGTCGTGTCGTTCGTGTCGCGTCGTTCGTTTCGTCCCCCTGTCGTGTCGTGTCGTGTCGTGTCGGGGTCCCGGGGTCCGAAAAGCGGCCACCCATGGAGTGGGTGGTGGGTAGGGTTGGCGCGGAGCACGTGCTCCTGCGCCCCCTACCCCGACCAGGGAGCGCGGAGCACGGTCTCCTGCGCTCCCTGGTCGCGCTTCGGTTGCGCCACGGGGGCACGGCCCCGACCGTGGCGCGGCCGTTTTTCTCGCTGGCACTCGCCACGCCAGCGGAGTCATGTGGCTGTTCATGGGTTGACCCTAAAAAAAAAAGAAATCCTCCTCCTCCTCTCACTCCTTTTCGAAACTGAGCGCGGGGCAGGCGGAGCAACACGGCCCGTGAAGGTAGGCCGGGTCACATGAGGAGGCGCGGGGATCGCCGCGCTTCGCCTGCCACGGCCCTGTTCCTAGGGCAGCCCGTTGGGCAGCTCCTCGCGGGAGGCGATGTGGAGTCCAGCGCGCTTTCGAGCGGCTTGTCAGGCAGCCTGGCATGTCCCACCCCGGCCCAGGGGCTGGTGCTGCGCCGCTCGAGGCGCAGCTCCGCGCATGAGGCGGGGGGGGGGAGGGGGAGGCACTCTCGGCCTAGCCCGTCCAGCTAGCTCTCCAGCCAGTCCTCCAGGGTCGCCAAGATCCGGCATCGAAGGATCCGCGCTGTCGGAACGCCCCCATCGTCGAGGGTTGACCGATCCACGCGGTGCGTACCGGAAGCCGGCGTAACGATCGCCACGATAACGGACCCGCCGCAGGTGACCTAAGCCCCCCACACCCACGACGTCGTGATGTTCCGCCGCGTGGGCCCACAGAGGTCAGCACCCCTTTTGGGGGACATGTTTTCCATACCGAGCCGTTTTTCGACTGTCCTTGGGCCTGGTGAGGGCCCCGAGAGTCCGAGTCAGCCAGCAGGTAACGGGGTTCAGCGCCAACGGGGCTCAGCTTGAGCGCAAGATCTTGCACCACCACCATTGCGCCGAGCATCCAGCAGGACGCGTGGGCAGAACAGACGAACGTGGACCGACTGTGAAGCAACCAATACAAACGTATCACGACTGCGACACACATCAAAAGGGTTGCGACAGTGGAGACCGAGTGGAAAGCACCAACCGCAGAGATACAATGAACGCTACATGTATGGGGGTCGAGGTAAGGAGGGCAGCGATATGGTCTCATACCGTGTACTGAGGACGCCCATTGCTGCCTAGGCCTGCAACGGCGTCGATGAAGAGCCCAGTACTTTGGTAATCCATCCTATTCGCATACATTTTGTCTCACGAGCGAATTATGGCCACGTGTGGAACTCTGAAATTAAGTGTTTCTAGCCTGTCCAGAAGGACGGCGTATAGAGGGTTGCCGCCCGCTCTCTTCAAGATGTCTGCGATGCCAGTTCTTGAACTAATTGAAGGGGTGCGCCAAGAATGCGCCGTAAGCACCTGCAGTGGAAAACGTCAGCGCGTCAAGCCGCGCTCTGTCTGCGTTAATTAGCCAAACTAGGTCCATGGAGTACAGTGGACTGCTCACCACGCAACCAATGTAAATGGTTCGTTCTTGCAGCTTTCTCGACGAGGCGTGAACCCAAGGCTTGCGCAGTTGATTGAAAGCCTTCGTAGATTCCTACAGGCTTCGTGTCAATTAAGTGTCAACTTCCCATCGCATGTGATAGGTCAATAGCTTCCCAACCATTTGATCGCGCCGCCGCTTGGTCGTAATATCATGTTGTCAGTCGGAATGTGTATTTGTAATGTGTTGCCACATTTCAATGCCAATACGTATGTCCTTCATTTACCTATCGCGCACCGCAGGTCCTGCAATATTTGCTTGCGTCGCGACATGAGAAGCGCACCGCCAGCGTATAAGAGATCGCGCGGCACCACGTATGCCAGACGTTTTTCACCTGGCCTACGCATCAAGCAACGCCACGCCCTGGCGGATGATGAATACACGCGGGGAGAGGGGGCCGAGCAATATTTGGTCTGAGCCTGGTTCGGGAGCCGGGCACTGGAGGTGGCCTGGCATATGTGTTGAACCGGGTCCGGGAAGCTCCCCAACAAACCGTAGTGCAGTTGTGTCTTCAAGTGAGCGACAAAAGAGAACGGGTTCGTCTTCACCGACATTGGCGCGTAAGCTGCTCGTGTAAGGTCGCCCGTGAGCGCCCCTGTTTTCATTGTGGCGTGCCGCGCTGGCGGTCTGCGTGAGCCCATGGCGCAAGGTCGCTGTGTCTTTTCTTGTGATTGGACCCGTTTCCTTGCGTCGCTCAGTTGGCCGAGCCAGGTTGGCGCTTTGCAGGTCAGTCAATCACCGCCCACCAAACCACCCCAACCAAACCCGAAGGCCCCAATTTGCCCTCCATTTCCAGTTGGGGGGGGTCGGGGAACGTTGAGAAAACACACATGAAGCTCGTACCCCCCCCAACCCGAAATTCGGGTCTTCGGGTTGGGTTGGGGTGGTTTGGTAGGTAGTCAGTCAACGCCCGACCGAGAATCGCCAGGTTTTCTGGACGTGATTTTTGTCACGCCGCAAGGGGGTCTGGTCGGCATCACCCCAACGTGTTCATGCTATTCATGCTATGTGTGCGTCGGCCCCGGCGGGGTGACGGGCGCGTTCGGAAATCTCGTAGTGCATGCTTGGTGGCGGGCGCTCTCTGGCCGCAACGTCTGGGCAGCGATGTGCTATCACATATGTTTGCACCGTATATGTCCTATTCGGGCGCGCGCCTCCACGCGGTGGCGCCCATCATTCGTATGTCCTCGTGCCCGATCGCCCCGCTGGCCAGGAGGGCCGCCCGTCCCCGCGGACCAGCGGTCCCAGCAGTTCGGGAGCAAGGCTCGGGCGGGTGGCACTGGGGGGGGGACCTAAATGGCGGGCGAGGAGGACAGCTCTCAAGACGCCCTTTAGGGCACCTTCTGGGGCCAGCAGGGGCCCTCAGGGGCCCCTTCAGGGCCTCGTCCTCCACCCTCCAGGTAGGCCCCCCCCTCACCACCCACCCGACAGGCGCGAGCTTTCATCCCTGGGGCCGACGACTGCGCCCAGCAGAAGGCCGTGCGCCCCGCCCTCTTGGCCGCGCCTCGACCCATCAGGAAGACAACCAGCTGGTTGGGAGGATCGGTCTGGGAGAAGTGGTCAGATCGTCCGTATTCTCGTGTATTTGTTGAATATGCATATTGTGCAGTAGTATTTTGTACCTTCCCAACCTCTGTTTCGCAACGCAAGCCATCTGGCGTCTCGTAAAAATCGAGACTGCGGTTTTTCATAGTTTTCGGGATCTCGTGGCATTTCCCGGCCTCGGGGCCTTCAAAAAACAACTCGGGATGAAAAGGTGGTTTTGGGGGGGATCGGCTCAGATGGGAACGCATCGACCCCCACATCACATCGCCCATCCATCCCGAGGGACTGATAGCGAAAGCGCGCCAGTGGATGGCCCTGAATACACTAAGGGGGGGGGGCGCAGAACCCCCCCCCTCCCCCCCTTCAAACGGGGGGTGAGATTTTCGACCCCCCCCTCCCGCCCTTAAGGGGGGGGGATCCGACCCCCCCCTCTCCCTGGAAGGGGGGGGGGTTCTGGACCCCCCCCTCCCCCCCTTGGCGCTGAAAGAGGGGGGTGGGGGTCGACCCCCCCCCTCCCCCCTTTGCGCCGAACAGGGGGCTGGGGAGGGGGCCTCTCGGGTAGTGAGTAGAGAGTAGAGTGTTTTGAATAGCGACTGGTGAGTAGTGGTTATTTGATAGTGAGTAGTGCGTAGGTGAGTAGTGAGTAGTAAATAGTGGGTAATGGGTAGGGGTAGTAGTGAGTAGCGCGTAGAGATTACTGAGTAGTGAGTAGTACATAGTGGGTAGTGAGTAGCGGGAAGGAGGTAGTGAGTAAGGAATTGTGGGTACTAAGTAGTGAGGAGTGAGTGGTGTGTAGTGAGTAGTGTATAGTGAGTAGCAAGCAGGGAGTAGGGGTGAGGGAGTAGACAGTAGCGAATAGCGAGGAGTGAGTAGTGAGTATTGAGTAGTGCGCAGTGAGTAGAGAGTAGTGAGCAGTGAGTGGCGAGTAGCAAGTAGCGAGTAACGAGTAGGGAGTAGCGAGTAGGGGGTAGCGAGTAGTGAGTAGTGAGTAGCGAGTAGGGCGCTGTGAGTAGTGAGTAGTGAGGAGGGAGTAGTCAGGAATCAGTGGTGAGTAGTGAGTAGTGAGTAGTGCGTAGCGAGTAGAGAGTAGCGAGTAGTGAGTAGTGAGTTGTGAGTTGTGAGTACTGAGTAGGGAGTAGTGCGTATTGAGTAGTGAGTCCTGAGAAGCGAGAAGTGGGTAGCCGGTAGTGAGTAGGGAGTAGCGAGTAGAAGTTCGTGAGTCGTGAGTAGTGAGTAGTGAGTAGTGAGTAGCGACTTGCGACTAGTGGCTAGCGAGTAGGGAGTAGGGAGTAGTGAGTAGTGCGTAGTGGGTAGTGAATATGTCCCATCGGGTAGCGAGTAGCGGATATTGAGTAGTGAGTTTTGGGCAGTGCGTAGTGAGTAGTGAATTGTGATTTCTCAGTAGTAAGTAGTGGGTAGTGAGTAGTGCTTAGTGAGTAGTGAGTAGTGGGCAGTGAGTAGTGGGCAGTGAGTAGTGAGTATTGAGTACTGGGTAGTGAGTAGTGAGTAGAGAGTTGGGAGTAGTGAGTAGTGGGTAGGAAGTAGCGAGTAGTGAGTAGTGGGACCGTAGTGAGTAGTGAGCAGTGGGTAGTGAGTAGTGCGTATTGGGTAGCGAGTAGGGCGTAGGGAGTAGCGAGTAATGAGTAGTGAGTAGTGAGTATTGTGTAGGGAGTAGCGAGTCGCGAGTAGTGGATAGTGAGTGGTGAGTTATGGGCAGTGAGTAGTGAGTAGTGAGTAGTGAGTAGTGGATAGCGGTTAGTAGGTAGTGAGTAGTGATTCGTGATTAGCGAGTAGTGAGTAGTGAGTTGTGTTCAGTGAGTAGTGAGTATTGTGTAGCGAGTAGTGAGTGGTGGGTAGGGAGTAGGGAGTAGGGAGTAGTGCGTCGTGGGTAGTGAGTCGTGGGTAGTGAGTAGTGAGTAGTGAGTAGTGAGAAGTGAGTAGTGAGTAGCGAGTAGTGAATTGTGGGTAGTGGGTAGTGCGTAATGAGTAGTGAGTACTGTTTGGGGCTAGGGTTTGGGTTTGGGGTTAGGGTTAGGGGTTAGGGCAAGGGTGAGGATTAGTGTTCGGGGTGGTAGGGGTCGGGTTCCGGAGACCGGGGGCGCCGTGGCGAAAAGGGGGAGGGGGGGGGGAATTCGAATTTGGCGGCCAAAGGGGGGGGGGGGGGGGGTGGGGGGTTCCCCGACGACGGACCGGGAAAGGGGGGAGGGGGGGGGGTCCCGACGACGGATCGGGAAAGGGGGGGAGGGGGGGGGAGGGTTCCCCGACGACGGATCGGGGAAAGGGGGGGGGCGCGGGGGGGTCCCCTTGGGGTCATCTAGCGGCGCGCCCTCATTGATAGCCCACCCCGCCAAGGAGCGTCCGATCTATCGAAAGCCAATCGCCGATTTCTCGGCGATGTATCACCGATTCCAGGTCGATGTTCGCCGCTGAGCGGGCCCTCCCCCATGACGTTGCCCCACCCCATACGTAGGCTTCGGACCCAGGCCCCCGTCGTGTCGTGGAAAATGACTGCGGCAGGTTTTGGGCCGTTGTCGGCCCCTCCAGGACTCTTAGATTGAGCCCCCCACGGCCGCAGGTGAAGGGGTCCAGGTCGGGGCCTACGTGACGGGGGTCAGCCAATCCCCTCTGGCTGAGCCGGGTTTGGGGGTCACGTGGGGCAGATTCTACTCTTCCGCCCTCCGCTGACCCGGTTTCGGCAGCTGCTAAGCGGCCGGCCGGGCTTCGTGACAGGGCCCTGGCCGACCTGGGTTTGTGATGACCTGGGCCAGTGCGTCCAGGACGAGGCCTCCCGAGGTCCGCGCTGTCCAGACACCACGGCGTCGGGAACCTGGGAACACCAGACCCAACATATGTGGAAGCTTCTCCGCCAGACTCTCTCGCCGCACCTCTCGGCGGCGCGCCAGTCCCTTCGGCGCGCGTCGCGCGTGCCAGGGAGGGTGAGTGGTGCGCCCGTCAGGGAGTGTTGCCGTCCGCGTGCGTCCAGTCGCCGCGAGGCAAGAGGCTGGCCCTGGGGAAGCGGCTCCTATCATCCCGAGTCGTTCTCTGACGGCCCCACGGGGCCCGTGGAAGGCCCCCCACGGGGGCGCGGACACGGCGCAACACGTCCAGGGATCCGGGCCTCCCAGATGGGGCCGGGATGCCCCATCTGCGGGCCCTCCCAGACGGGGCCTCCACGGGCCCCCGATGCATCGGCGATGCGGCCCGATGTGGAGCCCGAGGTCAGCAGAAGCCCGACAGGACCTTTTCCTCTAGGACCCTGCTCAAAGGACCCTGTTCAAGACGGTTGCTGGGGCCGCGTCTGGCCCACCTTCGTTCTGCCCTTCGGCTGCTCTTCATGCCGATCCCCGCGATCCCCTCTTCTGCTAGGAGGCCTAGCTCTTTCCTCAGTCGCGCCTGCGCCATGCGGGTGGCGACGGGGCCCAACCTGCGCCAGCGTTGCCCCGCCACGTGCCCTGCACGTGGCGGTCGTGCCAAGTTCACGACACCCCGCGAGTGTTAGCGCGATCGCTGCAATGAGTGCAGTCAATCGTTGCGTGATATACTACTCTGAACCAGACCTCTGGGTCGGCTTTGGAGGTCGCCGCGGCGATCGCGGCGGCCGCAAACCGGGGCAGTATTTTTGCCAAGGAACGGTGCGCCCCTTCCTATGACGCTCCGCGATGTAGAAGCGGCCCATGGCTGGCAATCTATCGACAGAGAGCTGTCATTGTGTGACGAATCTGGGCAGCCATGCTTTTGTTTCATTGAGGGTCGATGATTGCGCAACCAGCCAAGAAGGTGGACCAAGTACCACTTTGGGCTCGGGGGGACCTCCCATGTTCGGACCGCTCCCTGGATCCATGTCGGGGATCCTCCTCGTGGCTGGGCCTCGCCGAACCAAAACATCAGAAGCATGGAGAACAGAAGCATCCCGGCCGGGGCTCGCCGTGGCCAGAAACGCTCCGTCTGTTCCTCGCTCTGCGTTCCTTGTGGCAGCGCGGTGGCTGTGTGAGCGGGTCTCTGATCTGAGGACCGTTACGTTTCCGAGGAGGAGCCATGGGGGCGAGGGGGAGGAGGGGGAGGAGGATAGCCGCTACCTCCATCCATCTATCTATCTTCCCTTCTTTCCCCGACTTTCTTTGCAGAAGGCTCAGAAGTGGCACTGGAAAGTCATAACACAATGCAGCACCCTCACTGTGCCTCGGCTTTATCACAACCGTTGGGGATGACAGCGTTGTTTTGGGTTACACCCTCCTCCTGTCATTATTGACACGTCGCTCATCTCCACAAGCCCATCAAAAAACGATGCCCAGGCGATACGCCCTGACCAGAACAGTATAGCAGCATGCATTCAACAATGAGCCCTCTGCATCTTAGCTCTTCTTTTCTTTCGGGGGAGGAGGGACCAGGAATAGGAGAAAGTGGTGGAGGCGGGAGGATCAGGATGAGGAAGAGGCGGAGGATGATTATAAGGTGGGTGAGCAAGAACAATCTTATGACTTTGTTGGAGCACGTCCCCAATAAATTGCAGGTGAACCTTTAAATGAGAGGGATGTGGAGGATGGGGATGATCAGGAGAACGAGGAGGAGGAGGAAGGACGCGGATGAGGAAGAGGCGGAGGGGAAAAGGACATCGACGATTACGACAGGGGAAATGCTTTGCAGAGATGCTCTGCAGGGGTCTTTGCAGGGGCGCTTCGCTCATCAAACAGCGCGGTGGCTCCATACGGTCCTGCCCGGTGAAAAGCCGCGGCGGGTGCGGGCGGGGTGTTGGAGCAGTGGAGCACTGTGGGGTACGGTCGGGATGTAATGCTTATCGTATCGCTCCGCTGGTTCTACCCTACCACGCTTCGACGTGACACGCGAACCGCGTCCCAGTCACCAGGCGTCAACGTCACAAGCCTTTCCTGGCCTTCCGCTTGCAGGGCATAGTGTGTTGTCGGGGCTGCTGCTGCGACACGTTAAGCAAAAACAGAAGTTCCTGACCGTAAGGGAAACGCTCTACCACCACTTGGGGGTGGTGCTACGCGGTGGGCCGATGTGCGGGGGCTGCGGGCGTGCAAGGTGCCGCCGCGAGGGTAGCGGGAGAGGTGGTGCGCTCACTGCCACCACTTCTGACCGCGCCTTTGCGAATTCACCCTTCATGTGGTGGTGGTGGTGGTGGTGGTGGTGGTGGTGGTGGTGGTGGTGGTGGTGGTGTGCTTCGCCGCTCTTTTTTTAGCGGCGCTCGGAGAGCTCAGAACGCTTCTCGGGAGGCCGAAGTCCTCCTGAGCCCTCTGAGAAGGCCCGCCCCCTTCTGCCCTCCCCCTGGGCGCGCCGCCGATCTTGCCCCCGGTGTGGCAAGGCCGAGGAAGCAGAGAAGGGCCTGGCCGCAGCCTCGTCGTCTCCTGGCCGGACTCGCCCACCTGGCCTCAGCGATGCTCGGACGCTTGTCCGCAGTGGTGGTCGTCCCTGACTTCGAGTCCGCCGTACTTTGGTCGATTCGTCGACTTACAAGTGTGTCGGACATGCACCCTGAGCGATGCGACAAAGTAGGGCGGAAACTGCCGCCCCGGCACAGTTGGGCGGATATTTCTGCAGAGCCATGGCGGAAACAGCGGAGGCAACGTCGGGCGGACACCGATGCCAGAGGAGCTGGTTGAGAAGATGGGGCGGGCACTCCCACCCTGCCTGCGAAACCGCCCAGCGCACGGATCGGGGGTCGGGAGTTCGTTCGTTCGTCCGCTGCCTCGGAGGGGGCGCGCCCCGTGGCTTCAGTGGGGCGCGAAGCGGGCGCAGCCCGTGGCTCGACCAGGGCGCGCCCCGCGCTCCCCCCCCCCCCCCGCGCGCGCGCCCTTGGGCGCCCCTCCATCGACCTCGGCGCGCGCGGCGGCCAGCCGAGACGTCCGACGATGCGCGTTGTTTGTTGTTGCGTGTTTCCATGCGCGGCCCCGCGCAGAGCTCCCTGACCCCTTCCCCGGGGCCTGCATTTTGCCCCGAGTGCATTTTGTGTTGTTCGAGAGACTGGTGCCATGTCGCCAGCCCCCAGACGACAAAGACAGCTTTTCACGATCGCGGGAGACATCTGGACCATCTTGGCTGGCACGGGCGGTTTTCGAGAGCCTCTGCAGGGCCTTTTGGGGTCTCTCGGCCCTCACGCGCTCTTCTACATTCCCCCAGCTTGGTTAATCGACACTTATCTTATCCCCTAGCGATAGAACGGGCGTGACCGGGCGGAGGGTGGGAGGGGGCAGGGAACGCCACGATTCGCACCGGGACGGTTTCTGAATGCGCAGGGATGGCGAATTCCCTGACGGCGCCGGCGCGAAGCGTGACGTGACCAGTGACCACGGGGGGAGGGTGGTGCGGGGTCCGTGACGGGCGCGATCGCGAGCAATAGTAATAATACTCTGCCCAGACAGATCACGGAGGCCGAAATCGAGGAAATCGCCTGGATGGGAAAAAGTCAGATCGTCGGAAGTCTGGGGGACTTGGCCGGCGACTCTTAAGAGGGCGCCTTCGCCGGAGTGGCCTGCGGTGCGTGGCTTCCGGAGGGCGCGGGGGGCTCAGCCCAAGCACGCAGGCCGCCTCCGTCGCACCTCACGCAGCGATCGACAGGCCGCGCACCAAAGGCCACTCTCTCGCCCTGGGTCGCTCTCGCGCGTTCGGTAGCTTTGCGCCGCGTTGGTGCGGCGGCGACCCCAGCGCGGGCGTTCAAGGTCAAGAATCGGCCGATGACGAGCGGTCTGCGCCACCGGAGAGCCGCGATCGTTCAAGGCTGAACGGTTCACGCGGCATCAGAAACGAACGGCCGCGACATCACGACGCGAACCAGCCGTCAAGGGCAACGATGGGGGGACAGGCATAGGGGGGATGCATGGAGCCCCAATCGCCCATTGATCGCCGATTCGGGATCTGATAGCCGCACCCCGCCCAGGAACATGCGGCTTTGCTATCGGGGGCCTGTGGCCGATCCATCGACGATGCATCGCCGATTCCAGGTCTGTGTTCACACCCCCCCTACGCCGCCCCCCCCCCCTCCGCCGTTGTCCCTCAAGCCGTGTAGCCGTGGTTGGGCGCTGCGGCGCGCGCGCCGCGGACAGCCGCGCCGCGATGCGCGCCGCGGCGGCCGGCCTCGCCGCGCGCTCGCCTCGCGGGTGCCCCGCCCGCGGTGCCCGCGCGAGGCCCGCGGGCACGGCGTGCGCGGCGGTGTTCCACGGGCCCGGGCGCCCGTTCGAGCTGCAGGAGGCCCTCGCGCCAGGGAGCTCTCTGCTGCCCTGGGATCCCGACGGGAGGTGCTGCGGCATCTTCAGCCTCTCGGGGGCCCTTCCCGGGCCGCGGGGCGGGCAAAGGACGACTCAGGATGAATAGCGGGTCCCGGGGATGGGTCGAGTCCTCTGGGGGTCGACGTCATGGAGAATTCACGACGTCTGGGGCCTGGGCCTGGCGTTTCAATTTTTCTGTGTTGGGCATTTTCGCCCGTTCATGGGCCCGCGGCCCTCGCCAATCGCTCCAGCTTGAAAAATTCAGCAGAACGATGGGTTTCGGGGTCTGGCCGTGATTTATCCCGATGCTGAAATTGTTCCTCGTCGTCGGATCTCAGGGTCGTAATTATCCCAGACCCCCTCGCGCCGTGAAAGCGAACAGAGATGCGACTGAAGGTTTGCGATGTTCGGCCTCGCGGGGCCCTGGCCGGGCCCTGGGGGTCGTCAGAGAACGGCCCGGGTGAGCAGCCAGTCTTCAGGGAAAGGGTCCCAAACCTTTAAGAGGCCCACGCTTTGAAGAAGTCACGACGTCGGGGATGTGGGATCTGTGTCCGCCGATTCGGAGGCATGCCTCCAGGGATCTCGCGGATCTGCGACCACGGGCGGACCTTGCTCACCCTGGCGGGTCCAGTCGACCTGGGGGTCTCGGACGCCCCGCTGGGGCTCCCCTGGCTGCGGAACATCTCTCGAGCTCCGAGCCCCCGGCCGGCAATTCAGGAACCCGACCTGCAGGGGCAGGGCTCCCCTCGGCCGCCCGCGGGGGCGCGGAGCTAGTCGCGCCTCGCGCGTCGTGGCCCGGGCCGGAGTGGCTGCCCTTCACCAAAGGGGGCGGCGCGAGGGCGCGAGGATCATCGCGCACCGCGGGGTGCGATGCGCAGAGGCAGGCGACCGAGGTGCACGCGTGGTCGCCCGGTGGAGCGTTGGGTGCGGGCGCGTTCCCGCTTCCCGAGGGCGGGAGGTGTCCGCACGTGTCCGTAGCTCAGCGCCCCACGAGATCCATGGGTTGCACGTCTCCGGGCGGGTGGGCATGGCTGAGCCCCCAGCGTGGGGAGGTTCCGCTGCCCAGCAGGCTACGGCCCAACGAGCTGCTGGCGCGCCTGGGGGAGAAAAAGACATGCCGACACCCGGAACACAGAAAAGCATCCTGCTTCCTCCTCGTCGTCCTCCTTTTCTCTCCTCTGCCTCACACATAACACCGCTCCCCTCGCCTTGTTCGCCTTCTTAGGCCTCCTCGGGCGCCCTCCCCTCGGCGGCCGCATCCGCCTCGGCATTCCGAGCCCAGACGCACCCGCGCCCAGGCCGGGGCCAGGCGGGGCCAGGACGAGGATAAATCCGCTCCAGATCGTTCCGGGACGCTCTCAGAGCGTTCTGAGAAGGTTATTCTCGCCCGATGATGTCCTCGTCCTGGCCTCGTCTTACGGGGAGCGGCAGCATGGGGCGTGGGGTAGGCGCAGGTGATAGGAAGTCGGCTGCCAGCAAGTGCCCCACAGATATAAGATATGTCTCGATGCCCGATAGCTTCAGAAGTCCACGGAAGCTCCAGTAAGCGGCCGATTTCCCACCGCCGCTACCATAGGTAGGAGAGGGAGGGGGAGGAGGAGGAGGAGGAGGAGGAGGAGGAGGAGGAGGAGGAGGCGGAGGAGGAGGAGGACCTCCACATGCCCCGTCCTACCTATGGTAGCGGTGGTGGACAATTATTGGCCCATCTTCTGGCGCACCTCAGGGCCCTCAATGATACCGTGAGCGAGGAACATGTCGTCTCCGCAGCCTCGCGGGCGAGGCCCTGGGGCCGCGATCTGGCGAATACGGGGCGTTTTTCATTGCAGATGCCCCGGACGAACATGTCTGTGCCACCGCGTATCCGTGGGATTGCGCCCTGGAGTCAAGACCGCCAGGGCGGGGATAAGGATATGTTCGCCGGTCGTGAAGATAGAGGAAGAGTGTACCCCGAGATTTCTCGTAGCAGTCAGATGCTGATGTGTTTGATTTACGCCTGGCCAGGAGTCGCCAGGACGAGGGGGTGACTTGCTTTTTCGAGTTTCGGAGCCCTGTGCTCGGTCCTCGGTGGGGGAACTGCATACTACCCACTGTGGGACCACGCTCTGCGGCGTGACAGCGAGGCGCGCGTAACTTGTCAGCTCTCGAGTGTAGCGCACGCACTGACCACCTGCTGGTGAACCTTTCACGAAGTGGCCCTCCGTGCCGCCGAATGAGAAACCAACCTCTAATCGCGTGTGCCCGCTGCAGTCTCTCGTCGTCCTCGCAGGTGCGCCTCGAGGTCGCCTCCATCTGCGGCAGTGACCTCCGGGCCGTCGCCGGCCGGGCAGAGGAGCCAGCGCCGCTCGTGCTGGGGCGGGAGGGCGTCGGCACCATCGAGGCGATGGGCCCCGAGGGCATCACGAGGGGGTCCCCCGGGGGGAACGAATCAGAAACGAGTTCTTGGCATCATCCAGCTCTTCGAGTCGAGCGGTTTCGCAGAGTTTCGGGCCCCAGGGCCCTCTCGGAGCGATCCAGCTCAAGAAGTGCCGCAGAAAGCTGGGCTCTGCGGCTCTGGTCGTGATCTGTCACGATGTTGCAAGTTCTGGAAGGAAGAGAACGGAAAGAGGAAGTCAGCAGAGGAAAGGGTTCCGATGCCGCCCTTGCCTCGTTGTCGCCACTTTGGGCCTCATGTGAGGCCTTAGTGTCCACGACAGAAATCGCCCAGAAATTCTGAACAGAACCCCACCCCCTCGGGAGATGTCCGTGGAGTAGCCGTATTGTGATCGTTCTTTTAATACCCCTGGGGGCAACGCGTGTGTTACCCCCCCAGACCGCCCCCCCCGCTTGCAAACTGGGCACAAGCGTGAATCCCTGCAGCTTCCAAAAGACATTGTAAAGAGTACGCAGGCGCTCCAGCACACGCAGGCATCGACGTACACGCAGGGCCAGTGCACTGCAGTGTACACGAGCACTGTGGTGCACGCAGGCACTGTGGCGTACGCGTACGTTGCGGTGCGCATGGCTACTTGTAGTGTGCACTGGCGTTGCGGTGTTCACAGGCGTTGTGATGCACGGAAGCACTGTGGTGTACACAGGCGCTGTGGTGCACGCGGCTGCTGTGGTGTACACAGGCATTGTGGTGTACGCAAGCGTTGCAGTGCAGCAGAACCATATCAGAGTAGGAGGGGCAGGACGATGAGGAGGAGGCGGAGGGGAGTAGGAGGTGGGAAGGTGGAGGGAGCCAGATAACACCATAATCACAGCTTGGTGGCCCCATGTAGGGGGGAGGCCTACGGGCCCTCGTTGTCGTCCGTTGTTGCCAGTGGCCGCAGACAGTTCGATGGCGCAGAGAAGGGGCGGCGGCGACCCCAGCGCGGGCGTTCTATGATGCGACGCGCCAGGGGGGGCCTTTCGGGTCCAGGATTCTCAGAAACGAACCCGCGTTGCGAAACCATGGTTCACTATTGGGCCGAGAGCTTCCGGTTGCGCAGTTCGATCAAGATTGAACCATCCAAGCGGTGCTAGAAACCAACTTCCAAGGCGTCACGACACGGACCTACCGTACAGCCGAGGCCCCAAGTCCGCCTTTTTTCCCCCACCTCCAGCATCCCTTTGCTTCCTCTCCCGCAGGCTCCCAATTCCCCCCGCCACTCTCAACCTCTTCCCACGTCCTCCCGAGTTCTCCCAGCTCCCGCGTCCTCCCAAGTCCTGCCACCTCCCACATCCTCCCATCTCCTCCCACCTCCCCTCCCGAGTCCTCCATATTCTTCTACCTCCTTTGTCGTCCTCACGAGTCTTCCTTCCTCATCCTGTTTCCTCCCACCTCCTCGCACCTCTTCCCACCTCCCCCCGCCTCATCCCATCTCCTCCCACTTCGTCCCACCTCCTCCCACCTCCCACGTCCTCCCGAATCCTCCAACCCCTTCCCACGCCAGTTCTCCTACTTCCCAAATCTCATGTAGTGTACACAGGCGATGTAATGTACACAAGCATTCTGGTGCACGCAGGCACTGGGGTGTACACAGGCGCTGTTACGCACGCAGCTGCTGCAGTGTATACAGGCACTGTGGTGTACACAGGCGACGTGGTGTTGTGGTGCGCTCGGCTGCTGTGGTGTATGGAGGCACTGTGGTGTACGCAGGCGGCGCTGTGTTGAACGCAGGCATTTGGCATTGTCGTGTACACGGGGACTGGCACGCAGGAGTTGGCTTGGGCATTGTCGTGTACATACACAGGGATTGTGGTGCACGCAGGCGGTTGAGGTGCTGGTGGCTCGGACTCACCCTGGCAGGTACACCCAGCGGCCGCCGTTATTGCTACCCCCCGCCCGCGCCCCCCCCCATGGGGTAACATGTGTTATCCCCAATGAATGAGCGAACGATCTCATTGGTACCTTTTTGTGTCCACCCAGGTCCAGCGACAGCGTCCTGCGAGAGGGCGACCGCGTGACGTTCGCGACCTCCGCGTCCTGCGGCGTTTGCCCCGAGTGCGCCCTGCACAAGCTGCCGCAGAAGTGCGTGTCCGTGCTGAAGTACGGCCAGACCTCCATGTCCAGCGGCTGCGGGCTGAACGGGACGTTTGCGACGCACATATTGCTTCGGCCGGGGACGCACGTGGTCAAGGTCCCCGAGGCGTTGGGCTCCCGAGAGTGCGCCCCCGCAAACGATGACCTCGCCACCGTGTGCAACGTGCTGGACACGGCGCGGCTGCCGAGATATGGCTCGAACAGCAGCGCGATGGTGCAGGGCGCGAACCTCATGGGGATATACGCCGTCGCCTGGCTGCGGCATCGGGTGGGCATGGAGAGCGTGTTCTGCACCGACAAGAACCCCGAGCGGCTTCGCATTGCAGAGCAGTTCGGCGCGATCCCCATGCTGGTGCGAGAGGGCGAGGACGAGCGCATGGAGCGGGCGAGGGTAGTGAGAGAGCGTCGGCCGAGAGGCGTTGACGTAGTCATGGAGGCGTCTGGCGCGAGCGACGCTATCGTGGAGGGAGTGCAGCTGCTGCGCAACGGCGGCCACTACGCCTTCGCCGGCATGGCGGACTCCCGCGACGACTCGCGGCTCTCCCTGCTCACCGGCGAGACCATCATACGAAAGTGCCTCACCATTCGAGGAGCATATAGGTACGCGCCCTGGAACTTGGGGCAGGCTGTGGATTTCCTTGCGGAGTTCCAGGAGTCAGGCAAAACCTGTGGGAGACCACCTCTGCCCCGATAGTTGCTACATCATTCGGTGCCCCGATAACTTCGGATAGCCTCAAATCCCTCCTGAGAGTTTCAGATGGCCTCCAGCGTATTGACGCGAGCGCGAAGCTCTAATGCAGTTCTGTGTACCTACATATATGGACACACGCGTCGCCGTGCCATTTGTTCCGACGCGCGGCCTTACGTCTTGGGGAGGGCGCCTCGACCACCAGGGCAAACGCCGCCTCGGGCACGTTGGGCTTGCCGTAGGGTTTGCCGCAGTGCCGGCTTCGGCTATTTGGGATGCGTGGCGCACGGTTTGTTGTGAGTTTACCGTGGTGCTTAGCGGGTTGGGCGGGGGGGAGGCTTGCACCCTAGGCGCCAACGCGGCCCCACAGCGACCCCAAGAGGGCCCCCAAACGGCGAAAGACGGTTCCAACAACCATCCGCGCGGCCCCACAGCGGCCCCAGAGGCTCCAAACATCCCCCTCAACTCCCAAGGGCGTAGTTGACCAGTCGTGGCCTTGTGGCTGTCTGGGGGCTCTCTTGGGCTTGGCGTGTGTAGGGTCGTCTTCGGGTGTCCATCGTCCTCATGGGCCGTCTTCGTTGCTCCGCCCATGGTCTCGTTGCTCCGCCCATGGTTCCTGGGGCCTCTCATGGCGTGCATCTGGCACCCCCTCGCGCACTTATGAGCTTGTCGGGCCCGTGCGGGCGTGGTCCTGGGGGGCATCCGATCATTTAGGCAAGTCGGAGCGGGGTGCGATGACCGCGGGCATCCGTAGCCAGCTCTGCCAGATCGCTTCAGGCTGGCCCTCGAGGCCCTCGCAGGCGGCCCACATGCCCCGCACCACGATGCCGCCCTCGACCGGGGTGCGCCATCGTTCCCGGGGCACCCTTCCATCCTGGCCACCTCCGCTCTGACCCTCGCCACCTTCGATTGCCAGAGCCGCCGTGGGTGACCCTGGGGCTTCCCCAGGCTGCCCTGCATCTTTGCTTCCGAGAGGCCACCCGCGTGCGGGCGGGAACTCGTGTCAGCTTAGCTACCCCGAAACCCCTGTTTGAAACGCAACACATGCCGTGCTCAAAACGTTCGAGACACAACGTTGCGAGTTGGCTCAACGTATTAGCCCACGTTTTGGCGGACGTATCGCGTCATATCTACGTGTTCAGTCTACGTGTTGAGCTCCGTATGCGATACCTGTTGCGTGTTGCGCATCGGAGCAGCTAAGCGCCCTCTCCCACACGTCTGTTGCGATGCCCGCACGTTGTGAGCGAGGACAGCGCCGCGACGTTCCGTCTTCTACTCCGAGCTCGCGCTCCACGTCTCCACGGAGCAAGAGTCGTTCGTCGAGAGGGTCTGCTCAGCCCGACAAGATGGACCTCATTTTTTCGTCTCTGCATGGCCTCTCGAAGCAGGTCGCTTTCTCGGCATCATACATCGGCAATATCAGGACACACATGGAGGCCACGCAACATCGGTGTGATCACCTGGCAACGCAGATGCAGAACATGGGAATGTATATTCACCCGAGGCTTTGCCAACTGGAAAGTGAACCTGCTGCTGCCTTTACTGACGTTAACACTCATACGGAGAGGTTGAGAGCTCAAGTTTGCGCAGTGGACAGTACGCCGACCCCCATTGCTATGTCTGACACGGACTCGATTGCTTCTACTGTTCAAGCCAAAATCTCGGGTAGTGAAGCTCGCTCGGGTCAAATGTCTCGCTCAGGGCCTGTGCTTCGCCAGAACTGTTCCAGCTCAGCCGATGTTTCCAGCTCAGCTGAGTATACCCAGGACAACACGACTAAGGTGATCGTGTTGGATTTTCTTCGTCGTACGTTTGCTTCTACGTTGAAGGCCGCTTATGAGACCATTCGAGAGAAGTACGCTCCGTCAACCAAGCAGAAGAACACCACGGCCAAGGCTGTCAACCTTATTCGCAAGGTTACCTCGCATTCGAAATCGGCTACTGCTGCCAGTGGCTTTCCACAACTGAGTGAGGCAGACGGCCCGCTTGAATTCCCCGGCCCGCCCTCGGACACACCTCTGAAGCTTCGGATTCGAAGGGGGGTTGATAGCAAACACCGTCACTTGTTCCCCAGCACTTGTTCCTCAGCATCGCGGATCTTCTCAAACCGAGGGGCTTTATTGTCAATAACCATGGGTTGGGCGGGTTCATCTATGCGCTGGCCCAACTTCGCCTCGTTGCTGATGGTTCGATCGAGCTTGATCTGGACGGCGCCGCGCTCCTTGAGTTCGGCGTCGACCAGCATTGCGATGTATGCCGCGAGGCGGCTGCCGCACAACTGAAGCAGCCCTTTCGGCGCTGAAGGCTGCAGTCTGGCGCAGCAGTTCTCCCCGCCCCCATTCGTTCTCTGGCCCATTCTTCGGCTCCCATGCTTCTGACGGCAATGGTGATGATACTGGCTCCCATCGCCATACGTTTCTTCCTTGCTCGCCCGTTGCACCTCTTCCTGTGTGTAGCTGGAAACATTCAGGGCGTATTCGCCAGCGTTCGCAGCTCACCCTGGCGCTCTAGCGCCAGATGCAGGTCTTCCTTCTCCCTCGCTCGTAAGTTCTACGTTTTCCGTGGTCAAGGAACTCGTGGCCACCGTGGTGATGTTGGCGAGCTCCATCGCGAGCTGGATGGGCCCCGTCCTGGGCGCATCATCGGTTGCAGCTTTTCCTTGGTTCCCAACGCGAAGGCGGGGTGATCGCTGTCCTCGGGCCGTCGGTTACGCCGCTTTTTCCCTTCTACTTCCCACTCTGAGGTGATTACGGGTCGTGTTCTTAAGACTTCGCGCTCTGGCCCCTCAGGGAACTTGGCGTTTTTTTTTTGCGTGTGTGCGTGTGTTTGTCTTCCTTTTCTTGTTTGTTTCTTTCTGCAGCGTGCACCTGCCAAATACGAGTGACACAGCTGCCACTTACCTCAGTGCTCTTCGTACCAGTCGTGCTGCCTATGATGCCGCTGCTGACTCGCATCGCATTACCACGGGCGATGTTAGCTTCGCTCTCGAGGAAAAAGGAAGGATGAAGGGTGACGGCAGTAGGTGGGCGGTCGCTGACAAGGCCCATTCTCGCTTTTGCCATCGCCCGCTTGCTCGCGTCACCGAAATAGACCAGGAATGCGGCGCCAGGAGAGAACCTCGGGACGGGGTCATGGTGAGCACGGCGCGCCTTGACCGCATCTACTCTAGCTTGCCCCTTGCTGTCTTTAGGGATGTTGAGATTCGCAGTGGCGTGGTGGGCCGTCTCTTGTCGCGCGTGCCGAGCGATCGCATTCCTGTCTTTGCCATCCCCTCGCCGTTCGCCTCCTCTGAGGAGTCCCCCGCCATCCCGTAGCACGTCTGTTCTCATCCTGAGTTTTCCAGCAAGTTTGAGCAGCTGGTTGAAGAGCTGGGTTCGCATGCCTCGGAGCTGTCGGTGCGGGGGCGCCTTGAGGCTATCGCGTCTCTCATGTTTGTGGCTTCGCAGCACGTGCACAACTTCATTAAGCAAGTGCCTGCCGACGCGCTTGAACTGAAGCATTACCGAGCTCTGCGCGCTCTCCGTGGATGGCGGTCGGGGAAGGAGTGGATGGTGATCGCTACTCTCAAATCTTACCCTGCCCTCCGAGTGCATTTCGATATGTTGACCTTTCGGCGCGTGAATGTCGACGGCCTGTGCTCTCCCATCCGCCCCATCCAAATGCATCTTCTTGACCGGGAAATGGAAGATATTGAGCAGTCTGAGGGTTCGGAGGAGATGCGCCAACCAGAAAGCTCGGGTTCAGCGCTCACAGGAGCTCTGGAGGAGGCTAAGGAGTCGAATTTGCCTTACATGCATCTAACACCCTGGCGGCTCCCCCTGCGACTCCCTCGAGAACTCTGCCCAGGTTCTTCAATCGCACCGGCCTCAGGTTTTCGCCCCCACGGGGCCCAACAAGTCCCAGCGGCCCGAAATTTCTCAGCACGTTCAGAAACTTCCCAGGGCACCTCCGCTGGAGTGGCGGCTTATTTGCACGCAGTTTTACGAGTGCATCTTAGGCCGTGGTCGTAGCATGCCCGGGCCTGGCGGCACCCCGCATGGGGCTTGGAACGCCTCCTCAGCCGCGCGAGCCCTTTTTGACGCTTACCTCTGTTTCTTCTCTGGCGAGGTGCTGCAGCTTCCGTCGTCGATGCGCCCCAGTTTTATGGTTTTCCTTCCCCAGGTATCTGACTGTCGCGACCGCGGTTCCGAGGTGCCCCGCGGGCCAAACGATGCCTGCCACCCGAGCATGAGCAGCGCTGGCGTCAAAATCCCGGCGGGTGCCATGATTATTTCGCTGGCCGAAAACACTTCGAAATTAGTCTCCAACGACCAGAAATGCATGGGGGCTCGTGACGTGATGACGAACGCTGCGGATGCAGAGGTGCGGGCGTCGGAGCAGCCCGTTCTGGCGAGAGGGCACGCTTGCCTTCTTATGACTGACTTCTGTGCGGCTTTCCCGTCTCCAGCGGTTCCCTGGCTTTTACTGGCGCTGCGGGAGATGGGTTTGCACGGCGCTTTGCATTCTTTTTCTCGCTGCTATCATGTTATTGGGCGGGAGGAGGCGTGGTGTCATCCAGATGGGCAAAGGGGCGAAGCAGGGATGTCCGTCCAGCGTGCTCTTGTTTGTCATTGCTGCTGACCCGCTGCTGCGTTGGGCGAAGAGTCGGTTGGCCAGCCGCATTGATCGCGCCCTCGCTTGCGCCGACGACTTTCTGTTCCTTGCTCACAGATGTCCTCCGTTCACTGGGCCTTGTGCTCAACGCTCCTCGCAGGTTGGGGCCTATTGCTGGCCTCCGGCGTAACTGCGAGAAATGCGCGATCCTTCTTGCCGGCAGCCTTGACCTTCAGTTGATGGGGGACTCGATTGCGGCCCTCCGAGGCGACTCTAAGAAGATGCAAGTGGTCAGGAGTACTAAACATCTTGGGATGTCTACCGGGCCCGAGTCTCATCTTGACGCGCGGAGAGAAGGTACCCCGAAATGCGAGGCTAGGGTGGGCATTGCGAGACATCTGGGGCAAGGACTTATGCGTGCTGCTGTTGCGTTCAGGGTGATGTGCGTGCGTGTGTCGGTCTTACTCTTCTTGCTTCAGGTCCACCTGGTGCCAGTCGAGCTCTTGCGATGCTTTCGTGAATATGCGATGCGCTGGACGGGTGACCCTCGCAGCGCATGTTCATGCTCGTTGTGCGCGCAGCTGAAGCGCGTTCTTTTGCCCGTCGAGTTTCAAGAGATGCCATGTCTAGCTCGTTCTACCGACCAGGAATGAGGGTGCGGGGGCGGTATTCGAGCACCTTCGTCGGCTCGAAGACCACGAAGAGCATGTCTTCGAGCTCTTCATATATGGGCGATCTCCACGCCTGGTTTTACAGGGTCGAGCGCGCAGTTGACTGTGCCGCTGACGAGCTACAAGCTCGTCTGCATGACTACCTTGTATATTTCTATCACAAGGCTGAAGATCCGGCGAGTCTTCTTGTCAGAAGGGTGCTGGCCTGGTTCCCAGAGACACGCCAGAAACATTGTGATTGTTTCTTCCTGAATGCCTTCTTCGTCATCGTGGTATTTTTATGATCAAAAAAACGCAATCCTACATCATTGTTGGGATCCTGCAATTCTTCTGTCGCGGGTTGTGCACTTCTCGCCGCTTTCAAGCTCGGTCTGCTGGGCGTGCTCTTGGGTGTCGATATGATGGCTGCTCAGACCTTGACTCTGTTGAACTTTATACCCGATGTCCTCGCCTCGCGTCTCTCTTCAAATGTTAGTTCGGTCATTTATTTATTTCGTCGTCATGGTTCCCTGAGGGTTCGCCCTGGTTCCTGCCCTTTCCCCTGCTTTCACCGTCGCCACTGTCGTCGAATATTCTCTTCGCCGCCTCATTTCCCCGCGCAATTGCCGCCGCCTCGGCGCGCCGGGCTCGCCCGAGCGACATGTCGAGGCCCGTCTAATGGTCATTGCTCGCCGTCGCAGACATTTTGCCAGTGCCCGGCGCTGTCAGGCCGTGTTTTTTTTTTGTTCGCTTCCCCCTTCCCCCTCTTCCTCTCCTCCGGCGCAGAGAGCGCGCGCTGCCCCTGAGAGCTGGCCCCAGCCAGGGCTGCTCGAGAGGCCGCTGGGTTGGCGTCAGCGTCTCATCCTTTTTAGGTGCCTCACGCCACAGCGGCGCAGGCGAAAGGACGAGCTTGCAGCTCAACGCGCACGATGTTTCGTCCGCCGAAGCGTTCAGGGGCGACCCTGGCGCCCAAGGCGCGGCCTAAAACCAATGGCTCCAGACGTCCCGAGAAAGGCCCGGGAGGCGCCCAAAACTGCCCAAGAGAACCCCAAGCGGGGCCCGCGAGGGGCCTAACGCAGCCCAAGATAGCCCCAACGCGGCCCAAGAGGCGCCCAAGATGGCCCAGGACGGCCCCCGCGCGGCCCAGGAGGCGCCCTTCGTGGGCCAAGAGGTCCCCGAGAGGTCCCCGCGCGGCCGACTAGAGTAGTTTAGAGGCTCCCAAACAGCCCGAAGAGCTGCTTCAAAACTGCCCCAAGAAAAGAGGCGGACGCGAGGCGCGAGGCCCCTCGAGGCCGCACAAAACAAGCCGAGATTTTGCAGCATTTGCAACGTCATCTTGGTTCGGAGCTTCGCGCTGCCCCGACGCGATCCTCACTTGGCCGCGACGCCGCGCTCGCGCTTCCGCGTTGCCGCGACGCCGTTTCGACGCCTCTGACGCGGCCCGGGACGGCGCCTCGTTGCCCCGGCCGGCCGGTTCCCGCGTCCGCTGCGACCCCGGCGCGAATCTTCCAATGCTGATCCGGCCTGGACTCTGGAATTTTCTACTTTCGCGAAGCTTGAACACCTCGCTCCCCGCATCAGCGCAGTGGGCGCTTTCAGTGGGGGAACGCGAGAGCAAGCCCCGAATCCACATTTTGGACGGACAATACCCAACATCCCTCGGGCTTCGGCGGGTCCGAGATGCGGCGCGCCTTCCAAGATGCCCCTTTTCTGACTGCCGGGCGCGCGTCATGCGTCGCGTGTTCTTGCTACGCTGAGATCGCGCTGGCCGCGGCTCCGCGGGATGACGCGGTGCCCCCAGGGGTCGTCGATAAGGATTGCGCGAAAGGCTGTCGCAGGCCCTCCTGGATTTCGATTAAGTATGCAATGTGCCCGTTCTGAAGGATGGTTTTTGTATACAATGTGGTGCGATCTGACCCTGGCGGGGCGCCCGCGACAGCCCCGCCCAGCCGTCGCGCGGAAGCACCCCGAAAACATTGAACGCCGTGTGCGTTGTCGCAATGCAGAGTAGGAGTTTATTGGTGACCAGTCCTTGTCGGGCTCCACAGAGTCGCTCTCGCTGGGAACCTTCGGGGATTTCCCTTTGAACAGGTATTAGTATACCAGAAATGTGCAGTACCAAAGGAGCTGCGATTGTAGCTGACAGCCTCGCGCAACCCAGCGCGGGCCACTAAACCTCGATCCATTCAACTCCATGGTTTTTGATTCGCGGGCCCATGCATGCGAAAGCGCGCGCGCGCGGCGACGGCAAAGCAAAAAGGGGGGCTCCAGCTTCAAGTCCCCCCCCCTTCCTTGCTAAAGGTGGGAGGGGGGCTTCAGAAGCCCCCCCCCCTACCTCCGAGGAGGGCTTCAGAAGCCCCCCCCCCTGGCGTAGAAGAGCACCGCAAAGCGTAGTATGTCACAGCATGGCGTGGCGTGGCGTAGTGAATAATTGCGTCACAAAGCTTTGCAACGCAAAGCATGGCATCGCACAGCGGCCCCGAACATAACATTGCATAGCATGGTGTTGAAGATCAAAGCGTAGCATGGCATAGCACGACGTGGCACTAAAGCACTGCATATCACAGCTTCAGCTGAAGGCGTGGCATCGCGCAGCGGAACGCAACCTAGCATTGCATTGCATGCTGTGGCATGGCACGGGAAATGACGCCAGCGCTGCAGCGGGAGCACGATTCGGAACGAGCGGAAGCGCGGAAATGAGGCCAGCGCTGCAGCGGGAGCACGATTCGGAACGAGCGGAAGCACGGAAATGAGGCCAGCGCTGCAGCGGGAGCACGATTCGGAACGAACGGGGCCCGAAAATGAGGCTGGCGCCTCAGCGAGAGCAGCATTTTGAAACAAAATGCAGGCGAAAACCCAACTCCGGGGAATCCTGTGTGTAAGAAAAAAGTACGCGGGGGGGGGGGCGAACACTCCCAACCCGTCATCAGGGGAAGGAGGAGAGTAGTATTCATATTGAGTAATTGTCCAGGGCCGGAAAAAAAGATGGGAGGGGGGGCTTCCAACAAGGGGGCCTACAGGGAGGTGGGGGGTAGCTGAAGCCAAGTCCCCCCCCCTCTGCTTGGTCTCTGTGGGCGCTCTTTCTCTCTCTCTTTCTCTCTCTCTCTCTCTCTCTCTCTCTCTCTCTCTCTCTTCTGTGTATATATATAACGACATACATTATGTATGTGGCAGAAAAACAGCTTCATGCCAGACCCGGTTTGCCCTTCAGGGGCCTGGCTGACTGCCCGCGCGAACCCACGACTTTGGAGGCATGGGAGTCTGTCGAGGTCCCGAACCACGGACAAACGCGCCTACAAGAAACCTTCGGACCTCGAGGCCGAGCGTTCCGACTACAACCCCCTCGACAAATCTTGCAATGTTAATCTCAGCATCAGCGCTGGTATATTTGCGGTCGAAGGCGATCCAACCTTGTCCCGCTCAACCTGGCTGGATCCCACCGAATCCGGGCTTATATTGGGCTTAGCATGGCGCCAGGCTGGCTTCATGGCCCTTCACATCGGGACGAAAGGGCCCTCAGATCGTTCCCGGAAACGGTCCCCAGGAGCTGATTCCCAGGATCCCCCGATTTCGAGTTCTGAATGACCAGGCCGCCTATTTGGGGTCGAAGTAGATGGTGTCGAAGGATAGCGCCGCATCGCCGATGTGTTGGCGAGGCGGCGCGATCTGGAACCCGATTTTCTCGAGCCTGACGTCGCCGATGCATCCCCGATGCGTCGGCCATGCGGATCGATTTCCGCCCCCACCCGAGCGGCCCCCGGAAATCAGTCCCGCGGTCGAGTGCCGTCCTACTTGGGCGTGCTCCCGTTGCAGTCCGGCTCAATAGCTGCTTGCGGCCGAGGCCCGCCACGGCCAGGAAGGTCCCGTCGTTCCGAATTCAGCATGCCCTATGCTGGCACGATGGTTTGCAGGGCCCCTTCGATCGGGCGCAGCAGCCCCTCGATCGTTCCCGCGAACTCCCCGCCCACAGCTTTGCCTCCCCTGAGATCCGTCCTAGAGACAAACTTTGCAACATCGTGAAAAATCACGACCCACACCCCGGACCACATCTTTCTGCTGGACTTTTCCGGCCAGACCGATCTGTAAGGATCCTTGGGCCCGAAGCTGGGAGCAAGCGCCAGGTTCGAAGAAATTGAAACGCCAATATCTCAGGGTCCTCCCCGATCCCGGGCCCAGACCCCCGACAACATTTTTTTTTCACAGCGCCGACCTCTCGACCCGTTCCCGGGGACCGGCTTTTCATCCGGAGTCGTTTTTGTCGGTCCCGAGGCCCGGTACGGTCCCTGGAGGCTGAAACTAAAGGAAAACCTTCCGTCGTGTTTTTTTCCATGACTTGAGGGGGTCTGCGTCCGAAGGAGTCACTGCCGCTCGAGTCCCTGCTCTCGCCGACCTCCCGGGACCTCGGCGGGCTGCAGCAGAGCTTCGACGAGGCGGCCCGCGGCAGTCACTGCCGCGTGCTGGCCGTGTGCGAGCCGCCCTCCTGAGGGCCGGGCGGGGCCTGGGGGTCTCAGCATCGTCTAAGAATCTATCCGTACATCCGTCGTCTTGAAAGCATTGAGACGCAGGTTTTTCATGGTTTTCGGCCTCTCGGGGCCCTTACGGGGTCTCGGGGCCGTCGAAGAAACGATTCGGGATCAAAAAACCCAGTGGCAAGGCCATGCCAGTGGGAATGGGGATGGCTTAAACGGTGCTCAGGGGCGCGTGGCGACAGCAGGGGGCCGCCCTGGCGACAGGCAGCCGCTCGGGTCGAGACCCGGCCGGCGCTCGCCTCGCCACCTCTGTACACACACAGGCCCCGTTGACGTCACAGGCGCCTTGGCGGTGCCCACTCGGCGCGTGGTCTTTCCGCCACGCTCCGCGGGCGATGCCACCCGCGCGCTCTCGCCACCTGTGCACACGGAGGGCTCTGGTTCTCACGGCGCCCCGCGGCGCGTGCACATGATTGGGCGCGCGGCCTCTCCGCCGTGCTCCGCGGGCGAGCCCGGGCCCCTCGTGTCCGACGGTGTGTGTGTGTGTGTGTGGCTCTGTGTGTGTGTGTGTCGCGCGTGTGTGTCTGTGTGCTTTTCGTGCCCGGCGCCCCACGAAGGTCCCCGTCTGGCTGGCCCTCGGGCGGTGCTGGGGACAACGCTGTAGGGAGGGAAGTACAGGCTCAGGGGGGAGGGCGTCGACCCCCCAGCGCCCAGTCAGCGCCAGCAGGGTGCCCGGCAGCCAGCCCGCCGAGGAGACTGCGCATTCGCGATGGGGGGCATGTCGCCGACCAATCGGCGAGACATCGCCGATTCCAGCTCGATGTTTCCCCCCCCCCCCCCCGAGCTGGTCCCCCACGAACGTTTCTCCTCGTCAGAGGGTGGCCAGGACGACCACGGCTGCAGCTCCGCCGTCTGCTCCCGAGCGCGCTTGTCGTGGTGAGATTGCGCGATCAGCTGTGCCGACGCCACGGGGCACAAAAGAGATGCGGCCTTCGCGATGAGGCCACCCAGAGAACGTGGCCCACCCGTCCTCCGAGGCAGCTGTTGCACAAAGACTCCGATGCCGTTTTTTTCAGAACGCGGCCCCCTGAAATCCTGTCCCCTTCCCGTGGGCCCTGGGCTCAGGGACAACGTCATGGGGGGATGCATCGACCCCAGATCGCCCATTCATCGCCGATAGGGGGCCCCATAGCCGAGCCCGCTGAGGAATCTCCGGATTCACTGTTGGAGGCCTATCGCCGACCTACCTGCGATGTATCGCCGATTCCCAGTGGATGTGTCCCCCCTCAGCCAGTCCTCCCCTAGCGCTCCCCCTCATGGGCTTGTTTCGGGTGTCGTCTGCACCAACATTGACGCGTAAGCTTCCCGCTTAAAGTCGCGCGTCAGCGCCCTCATTACGAATGCAGCGCGCTTTGCTAGCGGCCCGCGCAAGCCGTTTTTTTCCCTCGTCCCTCAGATGGTGTCTTGATGGCCCCGGGGCTCGAGAGGCGCCCCAACGGAAGGCCAGCACGGAGTGGCAGCGCCAGCATCTAGAGCAGATATTCGCGGCGCAGGAGGTTTCTCAAGGCGCGCAGCGTCCCTCCCGCCCCCCCATAGGGGAGGCCCCGCTCCACGATGTTCTGGGCATAAAGGCCCCCCAGCTTGGGTCGGAGCAGATGGATCGCCGATGCATCAGCGATGCGGTTCGATGTGGAGCCCGATGTTCTCCACGCCGACGTGGCTGATACATCGACGTCGCCGATACATTGCCGATTCACCGGTGAAGCATCGGCGATGCGGGGCGAATCTCTGGCCCCATCTGCGCCGACCCCATTTGAGAGCTCTCTTGTGTACAAAACCTCGCAGAATGGGCCTTTTACCAAGACCCATGCCTCAGCGCGCCTCGTCTCCATCGTCGTCGTCGTCTTCGTCGTCGTCGTCGTCGTCGTCGTCGTCGTCGTCGTCATCGTCGTCGTCTTCGTCGTCGTCGTGGTCGTGGTCGTGGTCGTCGTCGGGGGCGGCGTCGGGGGCGGCGGCGGCGGCGGCGTCGTGATGGTGATGCGTGTCGCTCTGCTCGGGAATTGCTTCCCCTGCGCAGCGGCCACCACCACTCCAACAGTGGCAAGGCGTCCTGGCTTGCCTGCGTCAACGACGGTTCTCAGAATTTTTGATGGTTTGCACGAAGTGTTCTTAGACCATTTCTGGCTGGGACCGTTTTGTTATAATGTTTCGGCTTCACGTTCTGAGAACATTGCTTGCGTTCTGAAAACGTTCCTTTGTTCTGAGAGCATGTCGTGGTAGGCCTGTAGGAATGTCGGGACGGTCGGCCCCGGCTCATCGGCCACATGTTACCAGTGGTGCGGGCCCATGCGGGCCCCCCGATCGTTGAACGCAATGCGACAGCGGCAGCCTGCGCGCTTGGGCTTGCCCCCCTCACCCCCCTGCCCCCCACGCCCCCCCAGAGCCCCGCACCAGAGGTCCCCCCTGCCCAGGGCCACTCCTGCGCGCAGAGCCGAGCACACGCCACCACCACCCGGGGGAGCGGCGCAGGAGCGCGGCGGCCCGCCGCCGCGAGGGCACACGGGCGTGCAGGCTGCCCCTCGCGGCCGGGCGTGGGCGCCCTCGCGCTCCTCCGCGCGACGGTGCGCCGAAGTGGGCGGCCCCCCCCTCGCAGGAGGCCTCGCGAGAGGCCCCGCCGTTCGCCGTGGTGCGCGGGGCAGGGGCAGGGCTGGGCGCTGTGGTCGAGGCGCGGAGGTGAGGGTCGCTCTGAGAGCAGGCGGGGCGCCGGTGGTCGGGTCTTGGAGCCGTCTGGGGGTTCTGCGTTGGCCAAGCATTGGCTCTGGCCAGCAGGAAGGGCGGACAGGTTCGAGGTGCGGGGTTCGGCAGCGTTTCTGATGCCATCTTCGGTGCCCGGAGGGGCCGTTTGCGGGCCCCTGGACCGTGAAAGACGGATCTGGGATAACACACTGCACCGGATGGGCCCCATGAGGGGTCTGGGGATTGATTTTGAGCGGATTTGACCTCGTGCCCCCCCTCCTGACCGATCGTCTGGAGTCCAAACCAGCTCAGACCGCCCGGCCGCATCCCTGTCGGGTTGTTTCTGACGGGTCTACGTCGGGGAGCCTGTTCGTGGCCGAGGCTCGCCGTGGCCAGGACATCCCGTTGGTTCCTTATGCAGCGTTCCCCATACCTTGTACTGCGTTGGCACAACGACTTGTGGGTGTGATAAGAGCGCATCGACCCCCAATCGCCCCTTCATCGCCGACAGTTGCTCGATCAGCCCGCCCAGGAAGTACGGATGTGCTATCGGAGACCTATCGCAGGTCTATCGGCGACATATCGCCGATTCAAGCTTGATTTTCCCCTCCCTGAGCTGGTCCCCTCCTACTGTGCCCATTCGGTAAGGCCCTTTTTCGTTTCCGTCGCCCAGGTGGCTGCCGAGATGGCAAAGCGCGCCGTCTACAATCCGCCGGACTACATCCTGAACGTCCTGGGGGGAGGGGCCTCGGGGCGGAGGAGGAAGAGGTGAGCGGAGGATGAGGCTGAAGGGGAGGGCGAGGGTGAGAAGGAGGGGGTTGTGGGGGGAGGAGGAGGACGAGGACCACGAGGAGGAGAATGAGGGTAACGACGACGACGACGAAGGCACCGACCGTGCCCGTACAGTCTGACGACGGACGATCACCCGCAGGCGTGCGTGCGCGAGCGCGCCCGTGCCCGTAGAGTCGGACGTCGGTGCAACGAGGAGAGTCAGAGAGGGGGGGGGGGGGGGCGACGCCCCTCTGCGGCCCTGGCTGCCCTCATATGCCCGCATCTGCGAGGGGCGCCCGAGGAGAGGCCCAAAGAAAGGCGTGACCCCGAGCCTCCTTCCTCGTTCCTCTCCTCCTCCTCCGCCTCCTCCTCCTCCTCGTTCAGGGGCGCGCTTCGCTGCCGATGTAGAACAAGTGCCCCCCCGATCCGCAGCCGGCGGGGCGGTCCTGGGCCGCCGCGTCGGCCCCCAGCCTGCGGCCAGAGAGGTCGGGGACAACTTCTACTGGGCCGGCCTCGACCAGCAGTGTGGCGATCCCCCCGCCCCTGCGCGGCGCACTGGAGCGGCGCGTTCGTGGTCTTACGTTGGCGTCTTCGCTGGCGTCGGCTTCGGCGTCGGCTGCGGCATCGTCGTCATCGTCGTCGTGCGGGGGGGCGTCGGCGTCAGCGGCGGTGGCGGCGGCGGCGGCGTCGGCTTCGTCGTTTTGGCCTCGGCGGCGTTGCCGTCGTCGAGTCGAAGTAAGAGGGAGACCTTGCCGAAGTGCCAGGGAGAGCAGGGTCAAGAGGAGGCAGAGGAAGGATGATGAGGGAGGCGAAAGGAGGGATTAGAGAGAGAAGCCTGTGGGGAAATGAGGATGATGATGATGATGATGATGATGATGATGAGGAGGAGGAGGAGGAGGAGGAGGAGGAGGAGGGGGAGGAGGAGGAGGAGGAGATCACGGGCCGTTTCCGACAGGGCCCGAGGCGCCGGAAGCGCCAGCGCCATGAGGGAGGATGTGTACTTGTTCGGGCGGGGTAGTCAAGGTTTCGCGAGTGTTCATGTCCAGCGGGAAGATTCTCCACGCCATGGCCGACAGGGCGCCATGGGTATACATTGCGCCCGTTCTACACACACGGGGCTGCACCATGCAGTTCTCTTCTTTCGGGAACCCCTGGGGAACGCCCCTGGGCGAAGGTGCCTGGCACCGCCGAGGCAAGGACGCCTCGGGAAGGCGAGAGCGCCTGGTAAAGGCGACACCGCCAGGCAAGGGCGAACGCCCGCGCCTTGCTGAGGGTGGCTGCAGCGAGGACCTTCCTCGCTAGTCACCACTCGAGGCAGAAGGCTTCGCCGAGGCAGCAGTGGCAGTGAGGACACTGTGGCGCCAAACTTCCCAACAATGTTGAAAAGCGTCGTTGTGGAACTTTTCGGAATCAGAGTCAGCAGGCGTATGGTACTCGGAAGCTTCAGCACCAGCCTCAGCAGTACAAAACAGCACATGGCCAACACCGTGCTGCACAAACGAGACATACCGAATCATATCTGTTTGGGAAGAATCGACAAACGGTTTTTGACGAGACGTGCATTGCTGACCCCGAGGAAAGAATAAAGCATCCAACAAGGGAGGTTGCACCACTGGATCGGGGACAGAGGCGCGCATACAAATTTCCAGAACTGCGCAGGATGGAGCCGCTGGCGGAGGTGATCGAGTCACACTCGGGGGCCAACTTGGATTCCAATGGTGAAATCACGAAGGTTACCATGTTGAAGTATGCTCGCATCATGACGAACAAATGGAGACTGAATCAGCGGGCTGTCGGGCAAGGGTTGCAATATCAATGATGAGCTGAGCACGGTCAAGAAAAAGATTAGAAACCTGCAAGCACGGGAGACCGAGTTAGAGAAGACCGTGCTCAGGTACGACTGATTCTCTCGTCAATGTCGGCATGATCATGGTCATGGAGAGGACGCCCGTGAATCGGAGATGCCGCGAGAGGAGCTTCTTCAGACGGCACCACGATGGCAGGCGAAAGTGCTGAAGGCGCTGGAGGAGGAGGAGGTGCAAGTCGCGGGTCCCACATGGCAAGGAGAGGAACCGTCCATCGTGATGCATCCGCCGCCTCCGCCGAAGCTGCGAGAGCCGAGCCCGACGCCACCTATCATGGTTGAGAAGATCAAGGATGTCGACGCGGTCACGGAGGGGATGCATATGCGTGGGGGTCCAATTGCCGGGAGTCGGGCCATGCATGCATAGGTTAGAGATGAGCAGCGCGAGCAGGGCAACCTCTTCAACGCATTGGGTGAGAAGGCGCGCGGCATATGACGATTCAGACGGCCCTGGAGCAGCGCGAAGCTGAGATATGAAAGGCGCAGGGCAAGCGCAAGAAGATGATGCTTGCAGCGGCGGCTACCCAAGCGAATGGAATTGTCAAGGGGTCCGAGGGTAAGACCGCCAAGATCATGAACGTCTTGATGCGCCAGGTCCAGCAATCTCAGCAGTCACAATGCACTTCCAGTAGGCAGTGGATGGAGACGGTAAGTGAGTAGGTCGAGGCAGAGTTGGCGCGCCTGGCCGGGGGCCCCCAGAAAGACCCGATCCACGTCGACGACAGCCAGGGGCAGAGGACCCGCGTTGACAGTGGCGCGATCCAGGCTGCGACAAGGATGGGCTGGCAGAATGCTTCCGCGCGGATGGGCGCGATGGAGAAGACGGCGACCGAGGCCAGGGCCCAAGCGCGCGGCTCTACGACAGGCCCGCCGCGCTTCTGAAGGCGGCTGGAGCGGCAGTCAGCGCGGGCCTTGCCGCCGCGGTGTCGGATGGCGACCCCTCCGCCTCGGCGAAGGAAAATGGGGGTGCAGTCGAGGTTTTCAGTCGGCATCGGGAGGTGGAGCGGAGACGCCAACTCCCGGACTGGACTGGCGGCGGCGCGCGAAGTCAGGCCGGCCATCGATCCGACGGCGCCCGCGACGCCGAGGAAGCCAAGTGGATCTGCAGACGGGGAGGTCTTTGACCTGGAGCTGCCTGGGCAAAGCGCCATGGCCTGCAAGACCAACGCTCCCGGGCACAGTCCAGCAGGAGACGATCCGCATGACGCAGTGGAGCAGTCGACCCCAGCCGCGGGCGAGTCGACCGACGCCGCCGCGCAGCGCGCCCGGAAGAAGAGGCAGGAGAGCGCAGGTCACACGCCAATCCGCAATGCGAAAGGAAATGCCACGGGCGCGCCGACACCTTCCTCCCGCAAGCCACCCAGGGGGGCATCGATCCGCATTGGAGCCCAGTCAGCCGAAGGAGGGCTCGGGCCTGCAGGGTCGCCCGTACCTCCAGTGGACATGGGGGCGGGGGGCAGCCGGATCTAACTCGCGCTGGGCATCTGCGCCTCGTCGGGGCCACGAAAGCATTCAGACGCCGGGGGCGCGGGGGGTCGCCGACCTGCCATGCCGCGGACACGAGGAGTTACCGAGCTCGTCGACGGTCGTGAACAGTGGCCGACCGATGTCCGACGGCGCTCAATTGGAGGGCAGCAGCTCCCCAGCCACCGCGTTGAATTCATTTGGCGCAAGCCCGCCTTCCACGACGCCGACATCGCCGCCGAGTTCTTTCGAGGAGAAAATGGGCGGCAATTGAGCGCTGCGTTGCAGGGCGACAGCGCTGCATCCGCACCCTCGCTCATAGCAGGCGCTGCGACTGGCGCCGCCAGGGGCGCCCGCGCCTGGCGCGACGTGCATCCGCGCTGCTGACCTCACATGTGGAGCAATTTCAGTACAGGTGGATGGTTCTGTTCGCTATAACTGCCGAGGAGAACGACTGCAATTCCATCGACGAAGATATGGGGCAACGCAAATGCAGAACACAGTTGGGGCTCAGTGGGGGGGTCAGTCTGACTTTGCGGCGGCGGAGTTGTTTGCAACTGCGCAGGCCACGATGGGCATTGCACGTCATCAGACGCTGCCGATGGGCGCGCGCAAGTGGTCCAGCGATTGCTATTCGAGCTGCCACGGGGGCTCGTCCACGCCGCGGGTTCCCAGAACATGGCCATCCACTTCGCGTGCTTTCCAGGGGGGTCACATGTAGCTGCGAGGCGACTTTCGGATGCGTGAACTCACGCGAGGGAGATCCGCGGAATGATTTGGTCGATTCTCTGGCCATGGAGTTCGCAAGATCTGATTGCTGCGCGCTCCTTCGATATGAAGCTGAACTACGGAAGTGCGATCGGCAGATTGATTGGTCGCGCCTCAGGGGCGATGCTAACGCGTCAAAGTCGATGCCGGAGATTGGTCGGGGAGGGCTGCCATTGGCTCGATCTAATCATCTGGATTGTCTCAATTTGCCGCCGCAGGACAGGCCATTCCCCGGGGGCGCCAGTTGCTGTGGACACGTTGGCCTAAAGCGATCGCGCGGAAAGACGGGGCGTCAGCGTCGCCTTTCGCGCGGCCACTTGCAATTCCAAGACGCCCGCCGAGGGGTGGATCCGACGCGGTCGCAGGCGCCTCGGGGCAATCAGAAGGCAAGCGCTCAGGCGCTCAGTTCCACGGCGCGAGCCTCGACGCGGCTGACGCGCAGGAACGCCGGTGCAGAGCGAGCAGCGGCAGAGTTGACGGGCATCTGGAGTTGCGCTCTGGGACGGACAGAGGGAACTACTGCTGCGCTTTGCGATTTGACTTGGTCAGCCCAGATTGCAAGGCGGGCGGCGGGCCGCGGTGCTTCCGGGGCAGCGACGTCCGCGCGCTGCGCGCCGAGCCCACAACCTTGGCGGTCACGGCGGAGGCATTGCACTTGAAGGTGACAGTAGCTGTTGCATTCAGCCGCGCGCAAGGGAGGGCGGGGGGATTGGCGGTCGCGGTGGAGGCATTGCACTTGAAGGTGACAGCAGCTGTTATATTCAGCCGCGCGCCGAGGGGGGCGGGGGGAAGGGGCGGGGGCCTCTTAGAAGCACCCCAGCTTCTGAGGAGGCACGGGTCTTATCTATAGGTGCAAGGCCGGCGCCGTCTGAGAAACAGCCTCCTTCTAAGAAGCCCCCCTTCCCTCCGCGCCCTCGCGCGCGCCGCCAATATACGCAACCTTCATCGCGGCGGTGCGGGCGCATCTTCGACGGGGCTGGCGGGGTCAGGTTGAGCTCTCGATGAGACGCCGGCAGCCAGAGTTAATATTTTGGGAAGCGTGGCAGACGAGACTTGAAGGGGGATGGCCGCGCTTGCCAAAGAGCTCGACATGCCGGTGCAAACTGCGGTCACGAGGGTCGATGCGCATAGGGATTCTGATTTGATTTGTCAATTTTCGGGTTCTACACAACGCTTCGCTTATAAGAACGCAGATCGCGGCGGACATCGCATTCCGAGAGAGTCTGCTCAAGTGGCTGCGGGGTCAGATGTGCATTAAGAGTTCGACAATGGGTTGAAGGCTGGGAGCCACTTTCCTGAGCTCGCGCTGTTCAGGAGGCAGGTGGGCAAGAAAGCTCCCGCGAAAGGCCGCGGCAATGTGGATCGCGCGCAGTTCGGTGACCGAGGGAAATTTTTATCATCTGGGAGGCCCTGGACGACGCGACGGCCGATGACTGGGCAGACCATCCCACGATCGCGCACCGCAAGGCCAGCCGGAAGTCGCTCCAGGCGGCGCAAGAAGCCTTCCGCAGGGACCATTTCGCACCATTGCAACCGTATGCGAGTAGATCCACAACGAGGTCGATGCGATACGATGGCACGGGCAACTGGCCCTGCGACGCTGGAGGCGGGGCGAAGCGAGTTGTGCTGACAATTTATTGGGAAGTACTGGCGGTCTTCTTCCATGCGCCTTGAAGATGGACAGGAAAGCGCATTTCACATGGGCGGAGGACCAAATCGACAGAGCCTCTGAGACAAAACCATTTTGCAGCAGCGTGGGCACGGGTCGCGCAGATTCTAAGATGCGGAGGTTGCGCCCGCCCACGCTTTCAAGGAGGGGGCCTCCTACCGCTGCGAGGCGACGACGATGGCGAGGTGATGGGGTGCGCGGAGGACTTGGCTCTCTTGCGCTCGAAACACATCGCCGAAGTCGAAGCGGCAACCGCGGGCGTAATCCAGTCTGTGCCAACTCTTCAACGACGCGACGGGATTGCCGGAGGGATCTCTAGCATTGAGATGGGGCCTAGTCCAGGGGAGGTGGAGATGATGTTCTCTCAGGCGGCGAAGGGCAAAGCCAGTGGGCCTGATCTGGTCCAGGATGACCTTCGTCGCGCTGCCCCAGGCCAGACAAGCCGCATCTTCTACGCAGCAGTCTTTGCAGCGGCTGTCACAGGGGCCGAGCCGATGCAGTTCAGCATGGCATGATGGCGGAGGTACCGAAAGGAAGGGGATCCTCAGTACATGGAAGCATATCGTGCCATCACTTTTGGCAACGCGTTCCCGATGCACTTATGCAATGTCCGGCGCGGGCAGGTTGCGCTGGCCATCGACGCCGTGCTCGAGGACTCACAAGTAAGAGGAAAACAGGGAAGGGTAACATCGGTGGCAACTCATCAGCTACGATCGGCTCAGGAGTTGGCGAAGAGGGCTGGCGCGACGCTGAATATTATATATATATGCTGATCTGGCAGCAGCTTTTCCTAAAGTGCTCGGGCAAATTGCTGCCGCAATTAATCCGACCCCAGAAGTGGGCGAGCTTTTGCAGCAAGACAACATGCCGCCAGCCTTTCCCCATTGGCCAGCTCTATTCTCGATAAGCCTGGCATGAGCATTTGGTAGGCCTCATATCGGAGTCTCAGCGCCTCGCGCGGTTTCAGGTTCCAGGGATCACTGCTACCGCAACAGCGCAAGGGAGTCGACCTGGCAATCGGCTTGCCTATGTTGTTTTCTACGTGGGCTTTGCCAGTCCACTGAGGGACTTGCAGATGGAGTTGAAATTCATACGCATGTTGCTCCAACAGAACGGCGGAATACGTGAAGTGAGTTCAGCAGCACGTGATGGAACAATGGTTGACGCGCTGGTAGACATCACGTTTGTGGACGATGTGGCGACGCGTGCGATCTGCGACGTCAACTTGGAAACCAAGGGCCGCGTCAAGAGGGGTACCGAATTGGTTCACTTCCATTGTTTGCACGAGCTGCTCGATGGAGCTGGCTACGATCTTTCGCATCCATGGAGAGCGCCATGTGGGCCAATTGTGTGTTAGACAGTGGTGATGGAAGGGGGATCAGGATCAACGATGGGCAACATCATCTTCCAGTTGCGAGGTAATGCGTGCATCTAGGTGTGATGATCACACGTTATGAGCGCTGGGGGCCCGAGCGAGCTCGACGTATGCGACGACGCGCTTCAGGTCGCCGATCTCTCGATGAGATGATGCTTTAGCATGACGTGGCTTCTTCGACAAATTGCCAACTACTTGATCGGGCTGACGCGAGGCCGACCTGGCCCAAGAAAGCCGATGCAGGGGACGAGAACGGCCCACATGAAAAGGCTTCAGGTCTGCACCCGACCACAATGGGAAGTTCCATCTGCCACCAGTACACCAACAGGAGCGTGATGATTGCGGCCAACAGGATCGGCATCAGCTTCGTAGTGAGGATCCGTGGGGTCCGCTTTCTTTTGGATATTATTGCATGCCCCGTGTTCTTGTGCGCACTCATCGACATGTCGCTTAATATCGCAGGTGAATGGGGGGCGCTCGCGATAAATCATTTGTCGTGGTGGAGCCAGGCCTGCACGGGAAACATGTGGCCCGCGGAAAGGAGAAGGTGCAAACTCGTGCCCGACCGTCCGGGCAAGGCCACAGAGGTTCCGTTCGCTCTTTCAGTCACTTAGCATCGTTGTACATCGAGCAGTTGGGTCTGTCTGTACCACTTAGCAGCATGGCGGCGTCTGCTTGTAGCTGACTTCCCCCATGCCTGCCCCCAGCCAGAATCCAACTTCGCGTGCTGTGAGTGTGGCAATCTGAGCACCAGCATGAAGACCACGAAGCACCATGGGTCGGCAGTGCACTTGGGTGGGGTCCCAGCCGACAGGTTTGCGCGCGCGACGGAATGCGCGGCGTGCTGGCAGGTAGTTGATACACGCACATGGCTCAAATACCGTTTGAAACATCGAAGCCAAACTTGTCTCACCAGGCTGCTTGATAATATTGCTCCCATGCCTGGGGAGGGAGGGCAGCAGCTGGCTTTGCAGGACAGGCAAGCGAAGACGAACCTCAGAAGTAGAGGGTGCACGAAGTCAAAGGCTCTGGCCAATGCGTGGAAGTCCCCGCGTGGACGCAGGTCCCCCGAACGAGCCCGATATGTTCGAGCCCCCTGGGGCCATGATGGAACCCCGAGCGAGGGAGCAACTACCCGTGCCCAATCTCGAGAACCTGGATGGTTTGAGGATTGGTGTCTTTAGTGGGCGGTCTGAGAGGAAGTTGTTCATGACATGTTTGAGAGCGTGCCCCACCATGGTGCCCCCGTGGTGTTGAGACTTGAAATGACATAATGTCACTTCATATCTTCGCTGGACCAAATCCAGAAGGGGCGCGTGGTAGGTTTGTGCATCGAGCTCGGGGCAGAAGTTTGGTCTGAGGCGGTCAGCCATGCCGCGGCCCACCCATCTGGAATCATGTCGGCCCCAGCTGTAGCTAGGGGCAGGACGCACAGAAACAACTGTAGGATCAGGAATGTATTCGTTCGCTGTTCCTGCACACGCCGAGCGTCAAGATACCTAGTGCCCTGGCCTGGGAGGGAGGCGCCCAAGGTTTGTCAATCCCTGGGCTGGCTGGCCTCCTCTGCAGCCCGGGGGCTGCTGCGACAGGAGAAGGGCCCACTCGGGTGAGAGACATTGGTCTGAACGTGGATGTGGGCTCCATTGCCCCGTTATATATCCAGCGGTCTCGTGGTAGAGCGGCGGGGGCCCTTGCAAATGCGTGAGCCAGCAGAAGTAGAGAATGGGCGATGTCACAGGAGCTCGGGTTTTTTTTTCTGGCCAGCAGATCTGTATTAACTCTGTGTGGAAACGGGTGGGGGCGGGCACGGGTGGGGAATGATGATGCATGTGCTTGTCTAGCTGCGGACCTATAGCCATTTTGGCTACCACGGAGTAGGAGGACGGACCCAGCATATAGATCTCGGTAGCGGTGGAGGAGGAGACACTTTCTCTCTTGCCACCGTGCGTGCTGGGGTGGGAGTGGGGCTCTGTGATATTATGGAGGGGCGGGGAGGGGCAAATTCGAGCTGCCTCGCCGTTCTGCCCTGTATTTGAGGAGGCGGGGTGGGTGGCCAAGAGTGATCGAGGAGCAGGAGGAGAAGGAGGAGGTGGAGGAGGAGGAAGAGGAGTGAACGGAACGAGCGCCCTGCTGGGCGACTTCCAGGCCGCCTGCGTGTTGCCTGCTTTGTTGCATGTTTGACACCTCGGAGCATCGCCCTCTGGAGGAGGAGGATGAGGAGGAGGGGGAAAAGGAGGAGGAGGACGAGGGACAACTGCATCACGCCATTGCTAGCGCTGCAGCCTGATCAATCCCTCGGGAGGGGGGTAGAGGAGGAGGACGGAAAGGAGGAAGGAGTTGGTTCGATGGTGCAAAGTTGCACAAAGGCAGAAAGCACAAGCTGCATAGTTGCAACCCATCAGAGTTTCACCGCAAAAAGCTGCATAGTTCAGCACAACTTTCAACGTCTGTGTGGGAGCCTGTCACGGTGTAGCTAGGAAAAACGAATATATGAGGAGAGAATGGAGCAGGGAAGATCTAACAGGGTTGGGGGATGGAGGAGAACGGAGGGAGGGAGGGAGGGAAAAAGAGAAGAGGTGGGAGGTGGATGAGGAGGAGGAGGAGGAGGAGAAGGAGGAGGAGGAGGAGGAGGAGGAGGAGGACGAGGACTAGGACGAGGAGGAGGATAAGGAGGAGGAGGAAGAAGAGGAGGAGGCGGAGGAGGAGAGCGAGGAGGAGGAAGAGGAGGAGGAGGAGGAGGAGGAGGAAGAGGGGGAGGAGGACGAGGAGGAGGAGGAGGACAGTGCGGTCTGACGCTGGAGCAGGGGCGGCCGCAACGAGGCAACGTGACCTATCTCGACGAGGACTCGACTGGGCAGTGGGCGCGGGGCTTCGAGGCCGTCTACAGGGGTCCGAACCTGGAGGACACCCGCGGGCTCCAGCCCAGACCTCCAGCGCTTTGCAGGGCTCAAGACCCGATGCTGGGCGGGCTCTGGGCGGGCCCCGACTTCTGGTCCTCGGGGGGCCGGCCGCCCCCCGGCCGGCGACGCACCGCATCGAGCGAGAGGGTCCCCTCGGCGGGGAAGGCCGCGCACAGCAGCGCCGGAGGCTCTCGGACCCTATAGATTTTCTTGCGTGCCTCCTCCCCGCCAGGCTTGTCGCGTGGGCGACGACCATACGCGCGGGTCGTTGAAGGTGTATGTTTGGGTGTCCATATCTCAATCTACTTTATAGGCGCCTTCCTACTTCAAGATTCTAGCGGTTATCCCTCTTCCCTTTTCAGGGGGTGGCCGGAGACCCAATCGATTTCCAACGTTTTTTGTTCCGCAGATGCCCCGCGCGGAACCTATCCCTGCGGCCGCATATCTGCGGGATCGCGCCCCGGAATATTTGTGAGATCGAAGTGGAACGGAGAGCCCCAACCGGGAAATCGTTTCGTTTCGTGTCGTGCGTGCGGGCGAGGCGAAGTTGCGTGGGCGCGAGACAGGAATGAACCCGCCGTTGCTAGGGGGAACTCAAGACAAATGATTCTCCTCCGCCCGGCGGTGGCCCTCGGTGTCCCGCGGTGTGCCGTGGTGTCCCGTGATGTCCCGTGGTGTCCGCCGTTGCTAGGGCGAAGTCAAGACAGATGATTCTCCGCCGTCCGGCGGTGGCCCTTGGTGTCCCGCGGTGTCCCGTGGTGTCCCGTGGTGTCCCGTGCTGTCCGCCGTTGCTAGGGCGAAGTCAAGACAAATGATTATCATCCGTCCGGCGGTGGCCCTCGGTGTCCCGTGGTGCCCCATGGTGTCGTATGGTGCACGCCGCTGCTAGGGCGAAGTCAAGATAAAGGATTCTCCCCCGTCCGGCGCCGGCCCTTGGTGTGCCGCGGTGTCCCATGGTGTCCCGTGGTGTCCCGTCGAGTGAGATCGATAGTGAGACCGATAGTGAAATCAAGAGGTGTCCCTCGGTGTCCCGTGGTGGCCCGTGGTGTCGCGTGGTGCCCCGTTGAGTGAGATCGATCGTGAGATGGATAGTGAAATCGACAAGTGTTCCGTGGTGTCCTGTGGTGTCCCGTGGTGTCCCGTTGAGTGAGCTCGATAGTGAGATCGATTGAGTCAGATGTTGGTCCCCCCCCTCTCCCCCCCACAACCTCCTTATCACCCGAAGGGTGGTCGTATAGATGTGTGTGTGTATATATATATATGTATATATATATATATATATATATATATATATCCCTGGGTTTTTACAGGGTTTCCGCGTCCTGGGCCTGGGAGGCCGCCGCCTCCAACCCCCCATGGTCCAGGAGGGCCTCCAGAGGCTCCCAAGACGGCCCAAGCGGGCCCCGAGTCGCCGAAAGACCGCTCCAGGACGCCCAAGATAGGCCCAAGACGGCCCGAGAGGCTCCCCAAGGCACTCCTCGACGCTTCCAGACGCCTCTCCAAAGCGCTTCACGAGGCCGAAATCGTTTATTTTACGAAGGTTTTGGACACATTTTGCTTTTCCCGCCTTATCCGCTTTCCGACGCTCCACGACGGCTCAAAGGCCCCCCGCGGACGCCCCAAGAGAGCCCAAGAGGCCTCCAAGAGGGGCTCAAGACGGCTCTGGAGGGCCCCAAGACGGCCCAAAACGCGCTCAAGACGGGCGAAGAGAGCCCCAAGACGGCCCCAAGAGGGCTCCAAGAGGGGAACTGCGAACCGGAAATTCGAGCCTCCCGCCTCCACAGGGCCCCGGGAGGCCAAAGGGGCCCCAAGAGGCCCCAGGAGACCCCCAAGAAGCACCCAGGAAGCCCAAATGAGGCTTCAAGAGGCTCCCAAACAGCCCCGAAGAACCCCCCGTGGGAGGACGGGGCGGTCGGGGAGGTCCAAAATAGTCCAGGGCGGCCTCCAGAGGCTCCCAAGACGGCCCAAGCGGGCCCCGAGTCGCCGAAAGACCGCTCCAGGATGCCCAAGATAGGCCCAAGACGGCCCGAGAGGCCCCCAAAGGCACTCCACGACGCTTCAAGACGCCTCTCCACAGCGCTTCAAGAGGCCGAAATCGTCAATTTCACGGAGGTTTTCGAACGATGTTGGCCTTCCAGCCTTTTCGGCTGTCCGACGTTCCAAGACGGCTCAATAGGCCCCCAAGAGCGCCCCAAGACGGCCCAAGAGGGCCCCAAGACGGCCCTAGAGTCGCCCAAGACAGCCCAACAGAGCCGTCTTCAGGCCCTCTTGGAGGCCTCTTGGGCTGTCTTGGGGCGTCCGCGGGGGGCCTGTGAGCCGTCGTGGAGCGTCGCAAAGCTGAAAAGGCGGGAAAGGCAAAATGTGTCCAAAACCTTAGTAAAATTAGCGATTTTGGCCTCTTGGGGCCCTCAGGGGGGGCCTCTTGGAGGCCTCTTGGAGCGTCTTGGGGGCCTCTTTGGCCGTCTTGGGCTTATCTTGGGCATCTTGGGGCCCTCTTGGCGCCCTCTTGGGCCTCTTGGAGCCTGCTGGGCCTGTCGTGGAGCGCTCTTGGGGCACTCTTGGGCCGCCTGGGCTGCTCCCGGGAGGCTCCAGGCCCCCCCCGTTCCGCCATGGGGGGTCGAGGCACCTGTCCTGGGGCCCCCCGCCTCGCCCCTCCCGCTTGAAGAGTGCCCCAGGAGGCCCCAAGGAGCCCCCAAGAGGCCCCAGGAGGCCCCCAAGAGGCACCCAGGAGGCCCAAACGAGGCCTAAAGAGGCCACAAAACAGCCCCGAGGAGGCCCCACAACGGTCCCAAAACGGCTACCGAGAAGCTGCGAAACTGCCTTCACGACGTCCCCGACAGGCCAAGCACGAGATCCAAACCAACACCCATGAGGCCTCTGACCCACCACACAGGGCACTGTGGCGGGAGCAGTGACAGCACTTGTGCACAGCATGTTCCGGCGGGAGCCTTCCGGAACACGTTGCAGGGGGAGGAGGAAGATCAGGAGGAGAGAGAGCTGGAGTGGGAGGAGGAGGAGGAGGGGGACGAAGAGGAGGAAGAGGCCTCCAAGACAGCTCCAAGATAGCCGAAGAAGCTTCCAAGAGGGCCCTGGGCGGCCCACGAGGGCCCCAAGGCGGTGCCTGAGGCGCCCAAGAAGGCCCGAGAGGGCCCCAAGACAGCCCCAAGAGAGGCCCAAGAAGGGAAACACGAACTGAGAATCCGAGCTTTCTACCCCGAGAGGTTCTCGGGAAGTCCCAAGAGGCCCCCCAAGAAGCTCCCAAGAGGGCCGACGAGGTTCCAAGAGATCTCCCAAGGTGGCCCCAAGAGGCACAACTCATTGTTTTACGATTGGGCTTTGACGGGTTTGAATTTTTTCGGCCTTTTGGCATCCCGATGCTCCAAGACGGCCCAAGAGGCTTCCAATACCGCTCCAATATAGAGGAAGAGGCCTCCAAGAGGGCCCCAAGACGGCCCGCGAGGGCCCCGAGACGGTGCTTGAGGTGCCCAAGACGGCCCGAGAGGGCCCCAAGAGCCCCAAGAGAGGCCCAAGACGGGGAACGCGACCCAACAGCAGAGCGTTCCCCCCAAAAGGCCCACATGAGGCCGCAAGAGGACCCCAAAAGCTTCCCGAGGGCCCAAAAGGCCCCAGGAGACGTCCAAGAGGTTCCAAAATAGCCCAAGAGTGCCCTCGATGCGTCAAAACTGCTTCCAGGAGGCCCCCGGGAGGCTTCCGGATTGCCTCAATCTGGCCGCAGACGTGCACGACGCCCGGGCGCCCAGGGCGGCTGCCCCGAGGGGGCATGGGAGTACTGGGGCTCATTTTCCATGTGGTTTTAGAGGGTTTCCGCGTCCTGGGCCTCGGAGGCTGCCGCCTCCGACCCCCCGTCGGAGGACGGGGCGGCCGGGGAGGTCCAAAATAGTTCAGGAGGGCCTCCAGAGGCTCCCAAGACGGCCCAAGCGGGCCCCGAGTCGCCGAAAGACCGCTCCAGGACGCCCAAGATAGGCCCAAGACGGCCCGAGAGGCCCCCCAAGGCACTCCACGACGCTTCAAGACGCCTCTCCACAGCGCTTCAAGAGGCCGAAATCGTCACATAGGTTTTCGAACGATTTTGGCCTTCCAGCCTTTTCGGCTGTCCGACGTTCCAAGACGGCTCAATAGGCCCAAGAGCGCCCCAAGACGGCCCAAGAGGCCCCAAGACAGCCCAGAGTCCCCAGCCCCAAGATGTGCCCCCACGACTCCAACATTCGACCCTCCCGCTTGAAGAGTGCCCCAGGAGGCCCCAAGGAGCCCCCAAGAGGCCCCAGGAGGCCCCCAAGGAGGAGGCCCAAACGAGGCCTAAAGAGGCCACAAAACAGCCCCGAGGAGGCCCCACAACGGTCCCAAAACGGCTACCGAGAAGCTGCGAAACTGCCTTCACGACGTCCCCGACAGGCCAATCACGAGATCCAAACCAACACCCATGAGGCCTCTGACCCACCACCCAGGGCACTGTGGCGGGAGCAGTGACAGCACTTGTGCACAGCATGTTCTGGCGGGAGCCTTCCGGAACACGCTGCAGGGGGAGGAGGAAGATCAGGAGGAGAGAGAGCTGGAGTGGGAGGAGGAGGAGGAGGAGGGGGACGAGGAGGAGGAAGAGGCCTCCAAGACAGCTCCAAGATAGCCGAAGAGGCTTCCAAGAGGGCCCTGGGCGGCCCACGAGGGCCCCAAGGCGGTGCCTGAGGCGCCCAAGAAGGCCCGAGAGGGCCCCAAGACAGCCCCAAGAGAGGCCCAAGAAGGGAAACACGAACTGAGAATCCGAGCTTTCTACCCCGAGAGGTTCTCGGGAAGTCCAAAGAGGCCCCCCAAGAAGCTCCCAAGAGGGCCGACGAGGTTCCAAGAGATCTCCCAAGTTGGCCCCAAGAGGCACAACTCATTGTTTTACGATTGGGTTTTGACGGGTTTGAATTGTTTCGGCCTTTTGGCATCCCGATGCTCCAAGACGGCCCAAGAGGCTTCCAATACCGCTCCAATATAGAGGAAGAGGCCTCCAAGAGGGCCCCAAGACGGCCCGCGAGGGCCCCAAGACGGTGCTTGAGGCGCCCAAGACGGCCCGAGAGGGCCCCAAGAGCCCCAAGAGAGGCCCAAGAAGGGGAACACGACCCAACAGCAGAGCGTTCCTCCCGAAAGGCCCACATGAGGCCGCAAGAGGACCCCAAAAGCTTCCCGCGGGCCCAAAAGGCCCC